AGTGCCTACTAAGCGCGCGATAAACGAAGAACTATAGCGCAAGAATGGTTATTCCCTGTCCTCAAGGTACTTCCCAATTCATAGTAACGAAAAGACAAATAAAAGGCTCGATAAAACAAGAATAAACGAGAATTTTGGTCAATACTCTTTCCTCTCCTCTCCCTTGTCCGCCATTTTGTATGTTTTGAAAATGACCATCGCCATGGTGATCATGTTATGGTTGGTGACGTAGACCATTGTTTTCGCTTCTTCCAAAACTGGGATACTCCCGAACTGTTTTTTTCTTTTCAATCATTGATGCTTAAACTTACAAAAAAATTAAAACTATGATTTGCCATGTCTGAAAATACTGTAAAGATCCAACTGTTGTGCATCTGCTGCTTACGGCTACATGTTCACGCATGAATTCATCCGTGAATGAAACTAATCGTCATGTTTCCTTTCTGATTCTGTTGAGATCACTTCGTCTGTATATACTAAAACAATTATTTACCTCAGGCTCAGTTAATATTATTGAATAATCCCGAGACGAAGTCTCGGGGATTATTCAACAATATTAACTGAGCCTTCGGCGAATAATTGTTAAATATTACTTAATTCTTGAAATATTTCTGTAAATTATGTACACCTTTTCAAAGCTGAATAAAGTTTTATTATTATTACGAAAAAAATTATATTATTATTATTATTATTATTATTATTATTATTATTGTTATTGTTATTATTATTTATGCGAAAGTTTTAGATTTGCGTATTGGTGTTATTCAAGGTGCCAGTGACTGGAAATATACTGCCGCGAGAAAAGGCCGCCAGAACTAATTAACCTCGTTCCCATCGTTCTCTCTTCTTCACCCTTGCGGATCGAGGACGAGTAGGAGAGAACCCTGGCAACAAGATCGCACCAAGGCATTTGTCAAATTTCTCAACCAATCGGCATGTAGGAGTTTTTGTGCGGCTTGAACAGGGACTCGATCTCTTCTAATGTTTTTCCTTTTGTTTCTGGAACCAGTTTGTAAACAAAAACAAACGCTAAAAACATGCATCCTCCGTAAAACCAAAATGTCCCTTGGATGCTTATTGATGACTGCATGGGATCATACAACTTGGTAACAATGAAAATAAACAGCCAATTAGCCATTGCTGTCATACAAACAGCTGGACCGCGGGCTCGCATCGGGAATAGCTCTGACATGACAAGCCAAGGGACTGGACCCCAAGCCAAACAGAAAAAGAAGTTGAACAAAATTACACAGACGATGGACAGCCAGTTAATCTTTGATGCGGGCATCGAATGGCTGATAGAACCCAATAAAGATACCGTGTTAGAGGACGAGCTGCTATCTGGGGGAGGTATGTAGATTTCGAAATAAAAGCCAAGCAATAACAAACTGATGCACATTCCAATTGCCATTGTTAGAAGAGGGATTCGTCGTCCGGCTTTGTCCATTATCAGGCATGCCAAAGCGCCGCCGAGTAATCGGATCAAGCCAACAGAGATGCTAACAAGTTTTCCATTTTTAAAACCGGCTACCATAAAGATGCCAGCAGCATTAAAGAGAACCACTGAGTTTCCACCAAACTGTTGGAAAAACTTCAATCCAACGCTGATTAGCAAAGGTTTTGCTAACGCTGGTGACAACCATTCACGAAATGAAAGCTTCTCCTGACATTCTGGAGAAAAAGTAAAGAAAAATAGACTAGAGGTTACAAATAATAAGTTAGTATAATGCTGCGATTAGATACTGGGTAATAAAACATCATCTGAGAAACAATCATCTGAAAGACCCATTTTGCTAATATCAGGTCACCCGAGGAGGCACAGGAGCCCCAAAGATGAACAGCTGAACAGCTCGCCTGAGGGCTCGCATCAATACACCTCTTAAGCTTGCACGTTTTGTTTTCCCTTTGAAGGTCTCAGTGGAATTTCCCCTTTGTCTTTTCATAAATGACGCGCACAAATGCACGTGAATTCACTATTTTTAAATGGACCATAAGGCACCTTGTTTACCCCCCAATATTTTGCATAACCATTGGAATACGACAAACTTTGAAAGAAACAGTTCTCTGGAATATTATCACATTAGCTACGTTGGGAAAACAAGGCAAACAAACTAAAGGGGTCTATTAACCCTTACGTTTATCTACAAAACTATTTATGAACTTCGAATGAAGACCAAATGATTGAATTTTCCCAGCCTTCAAGGTTATGTGTTCTCTTTGTCTGAAATAATTCAGTGTGGAACTAGACTGAAACACTGTGACCGGCCGTCACAAAAGTATATGTCGGCAAGAATTCCTTTCAAACCTTAATTCACCATTTGGAGCGTTTTCATGTGACGTCACGGCGGCCATTTTGGTGTTTCAGAAAGATCCTGCGCGAGTTGAACTCTTTTCAATTCTTACGTTAACGTTTCTCTTTGTTCGAATAACATACAAGGAGGTGAATAATGGTAACTATACCGAGACGCGAATCGTCGAGGTATATATCTACCGCTGTTCACCGACACTGAGGGGGGCAGTTGTTTTGGTATTTACCATATCAGCTAGATATAACGTCACTTAGTAGGAACTTTGTTTACAGTGTACAAACATTTCGAGGATTTTGTCAAGTGCATTTTACGATTTTGTTGCAAATTCAGCATGAAAATAATTTTCTAGCAACTAGTGAACACCGACAAGCCAAAGTTCGTCGCCTTCTTAGTATTTGTTTGTATTACTGCTACATTTATCAAACAAATTTCGTCTTTCGAAAATGTCCCGAAGCGAGACGCCATCTTGACTCCGGTCGCAAAACAGTGAATAGGGACCTTAAGATCAGGACGGCGACGGCAGAGAAAACGTCGCTTAAAAAGTGAATTCGCGTTCTTCCAATCTTCATTGCGATTACTCCAAGTCACTTACTTTGTCAAATGTAAGCGAACCCTCCTAAAGTTGAGTTCCCAAGAACCATATCCAAGTTTAGAAAGAGAGAGGAAATTTCGTCGTCGCTTGTGTACTTCCTCTGTACAAGGTGAAATTAGGCATTTTCATGTCGTAGTCGTGCAGAGACAGCAAAGAAATGTACAAAAAAGCACGTGCAAAATTGTTGTTTTGCTAATTAAACCTATTGCTTTTGTGACGTTCCCGTTGCCGTCGCCGTCGTCGGATCTTGAGTTCTCTAATAGATAAGGATAATCCGAGTTACGGGAGCCAATAAAAACGCGCGAAACTTGCTATTCACTGATTTGGTCAATACTAAATTTGCATAGATGCAGGCCACAATAGTGAAGACACTCTGCAGTCAACTCTCTATGAGATAGCAACCTTTGAGACCTACAAGAAGTGTCCGTCTTAGAGCAATCTCCATCTTTTTGCGAGTCAAATAAAGGGAGTAAAGAAAGGCAGGGACCAACTCTAGCTGTCCGTTTTACGGAGGCGCCTGTTAAGAGAGAGTCGACAGTATTGGTCCACATAATTACAAAGATCACATTTATCATTCCGAATGACTAAATAAGAAAAATCAAATTTGTACCAAAAGTAGACTCAATTGATAAGCACTCTTTCTCGATGTCAACATCCGGCCCTCGTAGCCACAGAAGAAGTTCAATTGCTTCAAGTCGTCGATTTTTCATGAGTGCCCAGCGAGGAGTCTCTGGCATGGCATACATAAGGAAGACAAGGAGAGCAGGAGGAACAGCGCCATAAAGAGCCGACATCTTCCAGTGACAAAAAGCTCCTACTAAATAGGCCAATAGTTGACCTGCACAAATTGCTAATGAGAAAATAGAACCCAAACTGCCACGTAGTCGTGCGGGAACAATTTCAGCAACGTACACCTAAGCATCAAGAGAAATGTGTAAGTTAGCTCATCTAAGATAACGCGAACGTCTTACGTTTCCCATATGAGCCCTACAGATCGCTACGTTGTGCAATATTTCTGGGTGAATTAGCAAAAGCTGACATAGTGAGTTTGGGAATCTTGAATCAGCGACGAGCGAAACGGAAAAAAAATTGCAAGAACGGTTAGTGAGGAATACAAGCTTTAATGTTCGTGTCTGCGCTCGCTATTGAGTTTTCGCTTATGGCTTGCCTGGAATGGGCCTTCAGGGAGTGGGAAGGGGTACTCAGCAAAGTTTTTACGGGGAGGCTCCGCCCCGAGGTCCAGCTCCTTAATCGTTTATAAATCATTTTTGAAAGAAAAAGTGCCCCTTTCGTATACCTGCAATTAACAAATGGTATCCCTTTCACATACCTAATTTAGAAATTTGCATCCTTTAACTGCTGTAAATGCACTGTCTCTAGAATATGAATAAATTACAAAACCACAACGTTTTCTCGACTTTTTCACAGCCATAAAATGCATCTGATAGTCCTTTTGGGCCTTTGACCAACCAAAGTGACAGATTTCCCTACCCTCTTATACACAGTGCAACCCCGCTTTACGGACACCCGTATATTATGGACAGTTTCCGTATAAGTCGGGTTCCACTGTGGTTCAACAAGTGAAATTTCAACCCTTTCTTATACCCGAAGCCTTAAAAAAAACTACCCCTTCGGGCGGAGCCTCCCGGCTAGGCTAAATACAATATTGTCTATTGTCTATTACTAAAAGCTGAATCATTGGATAATGCAATTCTAGAGCTCTGATTGGCTTAGCCATCATGGAATATGAGCCATTACACCATGTTCTCCAAATATGGTAACTGTACGCGTCTGATCAAAGTTAAAAACAAGCTGAAAATCGGTTGTTTTTACAAAAGTCGGGAAGAATTCTCGATATTTGGTGGGTGCTTTTAATACAACGATTATTCCAGTCGCACCTCGTTGGCTATCTACCATCTCATATCCAACGCGCACTCGTGGAATAATTGTTAACTGTCTGTTGTCTAGGCCATTATAGGAAGTACCCCCTGGAGTGAGCCATAAGCTAATCTGTTTTGGCCTCATTAACATATACGTATCATTTTCTTAAAATACCGCCTCTGAATATTGTAATAGCAATATAAATAATATTTGAAAATTTGAGCCCGATATGTCAAATTGCTTCCCAGAAATTCGCTTTTATAAACTCAAAATTTTATAAAGAATGTATAGCTTTACATTTGTGCCACCCAGCAATTTTGCATTTTTGATGGCTGATATTTTTCAATATTGCCTGCAAAAAGCTAAAAATCAACGAGTTCTTTCTCGACTTTAAGATTTAGTCTGCCTAATAGAGAGAAGTGTGACCTCACGTTACCATGGTAACAAAATTTCTAAATCTTGATAGAGACGGCCATTTGCATTGTCGAACGTGTATGTATGGGCTACCGTTTTGTTCCTGAGGGCAATCATGCACAGGGAAGTCATACATGTCAATTTTTTCGTTTTTCCTGCCATATTAGAAGGACCACGGTTTGTTGAAATCCAGAAATTTAGCTACCATGGTAACATGACGTAACGACTTCTCCTATCTATTGTGCGACCACGGCTTCTATGTAAGCAGAGGATTCGGGTCTTTTAGTACCTTACCGGAACAGCAAGTGATATCATCCCACAGGCCAACCCCGTGACGATACGACCTGCGTACAACATGGCATGATTCTGCGCAAGAATGATTAAAAGCCATCCAAACTCAAAGAATATTGCACATAGCAGGATGGTCCCCTTACGGCCATATTTGTCGATGGACCATCCCCCAATGGGACCTCCCAAAAGAGCACCAACTGCGAGCAAAGACTGCAAAAAAAGAACCATGGTTTAGTCGTCTCGCAGGAAAACAGAGGGCGCTGGTAACACTCAATATTCTTTATATACCGGGTTACCTCCACCAGTGTGCAACCGTCCTCAATTAGGTAAATGCATAGCCTGAGTTTCGGGTGTTTCTGGGGGGATGCGAGGAGAGAAGCGAGAGGGGGAGACAGAGTCGGGAGAGAAACCCCTGAATTAGACCTGAATTTTGTTCGGAGCATATGAATGATTGGCAATATCTCTCGCTAAGAACCCTAGAACAGAATAATTATTTTTCCCCAACAATAAATCTTGAGGTTTTCTTGTGCCTTAAAATTTCATTATGGTCGCGTGACAAGTCACGTGACCCAAAATTCAATATGAAGGAAATTGGCGAATTTTCTTTGTTTGGAAAAACAAATTGTCATTTCTGAAAGAGACTATGTTTAGAATGAATGTATGCAAACTTTAAAATAAAAGTTTTAAATAATTCAAGATTAAATTTGGGCATTTAAAATGACGTTTTCTCTCATAATTTTTACTGAGGTGCAATGGACGGTCATTTCAAACATTAAGTGTAAATATTTGATATGAATTAGAAAAATGTTATTGCTCGATTTTTTTTCTTAAACTGCCAACCAACTGGTCAATAATTTACCATTTTAGCAAAATGGTAACATTTAAAATCTTGAGATGAGCTCCGTTATCGGAGCCGAAATTATAGCCAATAATTCATTTTCCACTCTTAGTCCCAGGCCTTATTAGACTACCTGAGGACGCTTTTACAGAAGCCTTCCACACTCAAAGGCATGCTTTTGTGTAAGGCCTTCCTTCCTCTCTTCCTCCCTCTCCACTTCTTTCCTTAAAATCTCCTCTACCCTTACCTCTTACAAAAGCTTGAAACTCAGCCTACCTAATACACTGACCTGAGTCAGGAAGCGCGAGAAATAACAAGGATCAGTGCGCAGTACGAAAGTTAAAAATATAATTTTTTTACGTGCCGCTACGAAAGTAAATACGTCTGAACTAAATTCGCAGGGTTACGAAAAGAACTCACCACGTTCAGTACAAGCAGCTGATCAGGACTGAGTTGGGTAATGCAAGAGACGTCCGCGACGGTTAGTAAATTTTGCAAGCTACTTTTAAAAGTAGCTACCTACGAGTCTTAACTTTGCAGTGGAAAAAAAAATAGAAAGAATTTCTGTGCAAAAAAAATATCTTTTCAGTACCAGTCAAAACTAAACAAATTATCAAGAATAGGGATACCACATTAAAAGTAAACACCCCAAAGGATTTGCCGGCGAGGGGGGGTGGGACACTAACCCTCCTGAATGCGATGCTGGTAATGGGCACCACAGTCTAGCCCTAACTCGTCCCCTAGCGTCTCTCAGTCTAATAGCGGAGCTCTCGCGCGCGAAGCGCGCGCAGTGGAGCACTATGAGTAAAAAATGTGTAAACCACCTATCCGAGAAAATTTGGTAATCACGTGACCGTACACCGCCCGACCGACCGTTAGTCCGCACCACAGGCATACCAATGTAAAATAATTCAATCAACAGGTATGGCAACCCAAATGCAATTCAAGGTTTTATTTGGAAAGAAATCGTATGGCCAGCAGGACTTTTCGAAAGAAAAAACAACCAAGTCGTGTCTTTTTCGGCGTTATTTTTGATGTTTACACTCACGTGGATAACAGAGAAAGAGTTAGAGCGAGTGATTGAAAAAAAAAGCGGACGAATTTTGTAGGAAGAAAAACATGAACATTCAAAGCGGCTGTGAGACAATGAGAATGCTAGCGGCCACCAAAGTGAAAATGAGCGGCAGTGAAAAATAAAAGCGAACATGAACACAGGAGACAAAATATTGAGTAAGCACATACGACAATTCCTCCATAAAAATAACGTGTAACTAGGAAGTCTGACGTTTTAGTCCTACAAAACAGCGTTGTAGTTGTGCAAAACAACGGCAAAGAAAGACAAAAAGCGCGGTGCACGTGCAAATTTGTTTTTTGCTAATTACAAAAAAGGCGTGCTGCACGTGCAATTTGTTTTTTTGCTAATCACATCTATTGATCTTGATGCCACTTTCATTGCCCTTCCCGCTTAGCATTACACGATTAAATTTTTTATTGGTTGCAACGTTAGTATTATTAACCAGAGGTTCGCTTTTAGCCCTGGCAAAATCTATGTATTATATTAATATAAAGAGAGGAGGGCGGACAAGGGGAGAGCCACCCTTCGGTTGCGCGTGCGATCCAAATAGAGACGACCGTAGGCTGTGTACAGACGTCCCCCTTTTTTCTGAGGAAGGGGGGAAGTCTGTACACAGGCTCTCGCACCCATAAAGTGTAGGTCACGTAGTCGACCAGCTTGAACTTATTCTAATCACGTAGAGCAGATGATAACGTAATCATGCTCTTTAACCTCTAGAAAATTTTGAAATTTCCATTTGATGTCTGTGGATTTAGCTGTTTCTTATTTCAATTATTATTTTACTTTCCTTCCAGTATAAATTTCGGAAGTTGAGCGAAGATAGTTTTTATATGGAGCGACGTAGGTCAGCCTGAAGGGGACTTTTTACATTCTTAGGCAGGGATTTTGGCCATATTTTGAGGAATATCATCTCTAAAGGAGTAACGACACTTAGCAATAGAAATTTGTCAATGCCTCTTCCCCTTTAATATGTCTTGACGGTCACTTCCGGTTGGCCTGGGTGGCTCAAAAGGGCCTTACTAACATCTTGACACTGAAGGTTCACACTATTTACAGACAAAAACATAGAAAGAAAAATATAGTTACAATCGATGATTACGAAATAAAATAACTAAAGTAGGGGTTGTAAGGTGTGTGTGGTGGTCAAAGTAGCGAAAGAAAAAGAAGGTTTACTCACAGAAAACCAGGATCCTTGTGAGGCAGTCAAACGAAGAGAGGAATCAGCGTTATCGCTTTTCAAATCCAATAACGCAGACGACGAATAAGAAAAACAATAACCAAAACTCAAAGGTCCCAAGGCTGCTATAAAAGAGGCAAGAATAGGCGTATAAATTCTTTCTTTTTCGGTCATTTCAAGCCAGCGATAATGACATTGACTCCTATACTAGGAGACTCTTTTTAGATGACTGATTACGATTACTTGTTGAAAACATCAGAAATATATCCACTTGACAACAGAAAACTTTGCCCGTGATTCAATGTTGATAATTATTATTTACGTGGTATGAAACACATGTGACCTGCGTCCAGAGTGTTTCACCGCTCATGTCAGATCATATGTATCCGCCATGACTTAAAGGGGAGTCTAATCAGAATTCTTCAAAGGACTGAGTCACGTTTTTCCAACGACACCTGAGAAGCCAAAAGGCGATTTTTCATCAATGTCAAAAATAACAACAGTAGCCGGCCCGGGGGGGGAGGGGAGGAGACTCCCTTATATAAGCTATGTAGGTATGTGCCGCCCCATTGCCCCATTGGGTAGGGTTTTTGCGCCGTTTTGGTCTGAAAAGGGGTGTACACTTCGCCTATTTTGGTCTTGAATCGGGTATGGTTTTCGAGGGAACTACAGGAGTGTATGAACGTATTTATCGTTTCAATTCCAAATGAGTAAGACAGAAAGAGAAATATGCACGTTCGAAATAGATTTGAAGATTTGTTTTGTTTGTGCTCTAATCTAAGTGATGCTAACATAATATTCTACCTAAAGGCCAGGTCTGAAAACGGGTATGGATTTTAAAACGGGTGTGTAAAATTACATTTTTTGGTCTGAAATAGAGTCAAAGGCGGCACACCCCCACCAAGAATTACCAGGAGTATCCCCCCCCCCGGGCAGCCGGCCCATTCATCGTCTAGACCATTTGTATACTCTATACAGTCTCAGACGTAGTTAATCGATAAGCCGATAATAGATATCAATCGATAGTAATCGATTTTAATCGATGATTAATATCGAATTCCAATATTAATTGATCGAAATCGATAAAGAAACGGTTGTGACTTGGATTAATATCGATCATTTTCCGATAGAAATCGATAATGATTTTTTATCGATTCCTATCGAATGTTATCGATTTTGTTAATCGATAATAATTGATAATTTTTTTTTGTGACTGCGATTTCTATCGATTTTCGATATCAATCGATATTAATCGGCGGATTAAATCGATCAATATCGAAGATCATCGGATTGATTTCCGATACCGATTTTATCGATTCACTACGTCTGGACAGTCAGATGGTTTAGAGCGTCTTCGACACAGGCAAAGATATCAAAAGAAATAATCTTTTTGTTAAAAAAAACGTTATGCCTTATGCAGGAAATAATTTTGTCCGATAAATGTGTATAGAGAAAGATAAGTTTAAAAACGAGCCACAGAGCTAGGAGCATGTGTTTTCCATTAGAAATACGGATACCATCGAAATAAAAACAAGAAAAGGATCGCAACAGTCGTATTTTTTGTTAAAAACACAACAAAATTGGTTAATATATATTTTGTTTTACTATTTTGTTTACTCCTTCATCGATTTTTTCAGGATCAGTTTGCACTTTCGATAGAAGTTGTTAAAACTCTAAAAATTCAGGTGTTGCTGCCATTCAAATTGTATTGTTTGTAAAAGATGGGCACTTACACTTCAACTTCAGTTTTAGCAATTATTGGATTCGGTTTTTGTATGGTAAAAAGAATTTGGCAGATCTTAGAGGGTGTTATCTACCTCAGCCTTCGGCCTCGGTGGATAATTTTAAATAACACCTCTCGGTATTCCCCCTAATTCTTCATATAATACGAAACCTGGATACAATATCATTCAAACTTTTCCTTCGGCCTCGGTGGATAATTTTAAATAACACCCCTAGGTATTCCCCCTAATTCCTCATATAATACGAAACCCGGATCCAATATCATTCAAACTTTTCCAGACTTAAGCAAGATAAGCAAAAAGACAACTCGACGGGTGACAACTGCTATTTGTCAAAATGTGCTAGGTAAGATTAAACATCCCTTTAACCCCTGCATTTGCCGAAGAAAAGACAAATGAACAGCTGAATGAAGACCGGAACTTTACAGGATGTTTTATAGTATGAACTATTTTAAAATGAATAATTATAACATATTGGATTTGGCTTTTGTATGATCTGAAGAATTATGCAGTTCTCGTGGGTTTTCGGCCTCAGTCTCATCCAGTAATTAGTCGAGAGGTTTAAAAAAATCAGAAATGAATAGATAATTTGAATGTGAATAATAATAAGCGGTTGTTCTCTGGGTAGTTTTGGTCTCACCACAAGTCAGCTGTTCCACATGGCCTGCGAGCAAGCTCTTCATTTCGACTCACGAGCGAGCGGCGGAAGTCGATCTTTCCTTCACTTCCGGTTGGCCTGTGTGGCTCAAAAAGTCCTTTGCTTAAGCTCCTTTAATACTAACATCTCATGACAGTGAAAAAAAATAGAGTGCTTACTTACAGAAAACCAGGATCCTTGTGAGGCAGTCAAGTGTCAACGCTTTTCAAATCCAGTAGCGCAGACGACGAATAAGAAAAACAATAACCAAAACTCAAAGGTCCCAAGGCTGCTACAAAAGAAGCAAGAATGGGCCCATACTTTCTTTCTTTTTCGGTCATTTCAAAGCAGTGATACTCTAATCGCATTCACTGCTCCTACGACACTCTTTTTAGATCATTGATCACGTTTATTTTGTGAAAACATTAGAAACATATCCACTTGAGAACAGAAAACTTTGCCAGTGATTGATTCAATGTTGATTAATATTTACGTGGCATGAAATGCATGTGACCTGCATCCAGAGTATTTCAGCGCTCATGTCAGATCATATGTATCCGCCATGACTTGAGGCGTAAAAGTCTAGTCAGAATTCTTCAAAGGACTGAGTCACGTATTTCCAACGACACCTGAGAAGCCAAAAAGCGATTTTTCATCAGTGTCAAAGGTAGCCTGTGTTGCAGCCGACCCCGGCGGTGGGGTTACTACCTTATATAAGGTATACAGGTATGTGCCGCCCCATCGGGTAGGGTTTTTGCGCCGTTTTGGTCTAAAGATTCCATTCCAAATGAGGAAGAAAGAAAGAGAAATATGCGAATTCGAAATGGATTTGAAGAATTTTATTGTTTGCACTCTAATCTAGGTAATGATAACATAATTTCTGTCTAAAGGCCAGGTCTGAAAACGGGTATGGAACTTAGAGGTCTGGTCTGAAAACGGGTGTGGAAAATTACATTTTTTGGTCTGAAATAGGGTCAGGATTTGAAGAACCGGGCGGCACACCCCAACAAGAATTGTCAGGAGTACTCCCCCAGCAAGGCAGCCGGCCCACGTCACCCTCTGGACCATTTGTAGACCTATTTCCTCGAATAATAGCGGGGACGATTGTTTCTTTCTTCGTATCAAAAGGGGGCGATTGTTCGAGCGAAGGCGATTATTCGAGGAAATATGGTACTCTATACAGAGGGTTTTAGAGCGTCTGAGACGCAGGCAAAAATAATCAAAATATATAATCTTTTTCTTTAAAAAACGTTTTGCCTTATGCAGGGACTAATTTTCTCCGATAAATGTATAAATAGAAAGATAAGTTTAATAACGAACCACAGCAGAGCTGGGAGCATGTGTTTTACATTAGAAACCGATACGGTCGCAATAAAAAAAGAAAAGAATCGCAACAGTCGTATTTTTTGTGAACAAAAAATATATTAACAAAATTGGTTAATAAATATTTTGTTTTACTATTTTGTTCACTCCTTCATCGCTTTTTTCAGGATCAGTTTGCTGTTTAACGATTTTGCATACAATTTGTTAAAATGTATGGTAATAGTTCAGGTCTAATGCTGCCATTCAATTTGTATTTTTGTATAAGATGGGTACTTGGACCTCAACCTTTAAGCAATTATTGGATTCGGCTTTTGTATGGTAAAAAGAATTTGGCAGATCTTGGAGGGTGTTATCTGCCTCAGCCTTCGGCCTCAGTGAATAATTAAATAACACCTCTAGGTATCACAGTAATTCCTCATATCATACGAAACCCGAATCCAATATCATCCAAACATTTCCAAACATCAAGATCAGCAAAAAGGCAAGTCGAAGGGTGACAACTGCTATTTGTCAAAATGTGTTAGATTAAACATCCCTTTATATCCTGCAAGACAAATGAACAGCTGAATGAAGACAGGAACTTTACAGGATGTTTTAAAGTATGAATTATTTTAAAATGAATAATGATAATGATCAGAAGTAATTATTGGATTTGGCTTTTGTATGATCTGAAGAATTATGCAGTTCTCGTGGGTTTTCGGCCTCAGTCTCATCCAGTGATTAGTCGAGGGATTTAAACCAATCAGAAATTGATAAATATTTTGAATGCGAATAATTATAAGCGGTTGTTCTCTGGGTAGTCCGGCCTCACCACAGGTCAGCTGTTCCGCATGGCCTTCGAGCAAGTTCTTTGTTTCGATTCACGAGCGAGCGGCGAAAGTCCTCAGTGGATCCTTCCGGCTTCCTTCCTAGACAAGCAACGATGTAGAAAGGAGAATTGCTGTCATTTTTTTTTTTCTTTTTTGATGAACACCATCCATATGAAGGTGAACCAGCAGCCGTAACCCGGCTGGAGCGAACGACTTACATGCGCTCGTGTCACGGCGTTTTCACGGAGTTCGTTTATTTTTAGAACGATTTTGGCGCGAACTTAGAATATCTTTCAGGCCCTATAAACCGGTCAGTACAAGCAAAACCCCTGAAAATAGCATTTTTGCTGTCAGAATGGGCTGGTATCCGTTGACCAGTATGATAATGACCGTATTAGGTGTAAGACTCGACTCATCCAAGTCACGATCAAGTAATGTGTTATGATAAAACGTTTTTCATTCTGAGTGAGAAGGTTCTTAACTAGAGCCCTGTTTGGCTTAGTTTACATTTATACATCTCCTTTAAACTGCTCTTTCAAGTTGAGTCATCACCATATTTGTCCTGTTACTCTAACATGGAGGACCATCCAGCAAAAAATTTAACCAGCGTCGCACACAACCAAATGGTAATATCCTTCAAAGCATCTCGCATTTCGCAGGACACCCACCGAGTCTAAGGATGCGCAACATATTAGTCTTGCGTCAACCTTGCGTCAAACGCAGTTTATAGAGTTTAACCAATAAACTGGTGGATTTTAACTTTCCTTATTGTCTTGATATCAAACATAATACAGAAAAAAAGTTACTTTTGTTATTTTTTCAAACCGTCTCAATTTTCGGGCAAATGACCACGAGACCTCACGTTATTTTCTGTGAAGTTTTTTACACTGAAAAATGTTATGGGCGATAAGCCTTCTCTGTGTTCCAAACCAGTCGATATCATCTTCCTGAAGTTATCACTACTGACCCATTTTTCTTCGGTTAAGTTAAGCTATCGAGCCAGGCTTGAGATGGCGTTGCATGGCTCATTTATACTTGAAGCGTTGCATAATGGAGACAACTAGAGTAAAGCCCCGTGCAAACGGACGCAACATTGTTGGCCAACAACTCCCAACATAACCTGAGATCAGGCCCAATTTTAGCGGTTCTCATACATTCTCTCGAACGGCTACCGCTAAAATTGGTTTTCGTTTCGCCTTACCCGCCGGAATATGTTACAAAGCGAAACGAAAATTGAGCCTGATCTCAGGTTACTCCGAACACTGTTGGATGTTACATGTTGGGACCGCTTGCACACCTTGTTGCATGTTGCTGCGTGTTGTTGCGTGCTGTTGGGCAAAGTTTGAAACCGGTCAAACCTTTAAGCCAACAACTCCCAAAATTTCTTTTGATCCGTGAGCGCCGAAGGTGGTGCAACAATGTTGGATCCGTTTGCACAGCTCTTCCAACATTGGTGGGGCCACGCACTCGCATTATACATGATCTCAAAGTCTTATGGGTTGTATCCTTCGCACGATGCACTGCAGGTCCTCAACATTGTTGACAGTTAATGTTGCGTCCGTTTGCGCCAAGCTCAATTTTGCACGAAGCGATTCGGTCGGGTCAAAGTTGTCCCGAAGAAATACAAAATGAAAAGCACTTTTAGTACTATAGCGCCGAAATGCTTGCCCCTCTCCTTTTATTTTACTAATGAAATGTAGAGAGCAAATAAAATAAAAACTACGTAAGGAATACGAACTGAAGAAGGAAAATATCAAGTTAAAATTGAGTTTCAACAAGTTTTTGCTGTAAATTATATTTTCAGTCTCTATCAAAATGTTAAAGCTGCAAATTCTATCATTCGATCCTCAGTGCCAAGATCTACCTGCAAGTCATAGGAAAAATCATAGACCAAACATTTTTTCTTGAAAATGAATTGCTTACGAAATAAAGAACTGAATGCAAATCATGTTCAGTTTAAAACGCGATATTATGGCAAAAGCATATCATTTTCATTACACAAAAGTAAGAGAGATAATTTACAACCTAATGCCAATTAAAAATGACCGTATTAGCTAAAGAAAAACGTCGAGTATCTAAGAAGCGTATAATTCTTAAGAAGACGATGCTAATGCACTTTCATTCTGAACTTTCAGTTCTCACCGACCATGTTTTGAACGCTTTGTCTTATTCCATATTTGGTGATATCACCTGCCGGCTGTGAATTGCTTTCAACGACGCAGCCAGCGACGTAGCTCGCCGCTTTCAGGAAAAATACTATAATTATATATTTTTTTTAATGAACAACACTTGAAAACCTGATTGGCCTCGAATAATCGCAAATCCTCGCTGACTCACTTCCGTTCCTTTGTTATTTTTCCTTTCAAGCTGAAATCATGAACACTATTTTGGAAGAGTCTGTTCATTTATAACTCTCTCGAGTGTCTCGGCACCAACGAAATTTTGGGTAAATATTATTTCTCGCGGTGGTTTAAAGCCAGCACACCGAATAATATCGGACGTTGATTATCGCTGAATCATGCTGGGCTATATTCGCCTGACCGACCAAGGGAAAAATCTATAGCAATTTAATCCCAGTCCGAATTTTAATCAGCAGGTTATAGTACGAACCGGCTGTGGTTTGATTGTCGTAACTGCAAGGAAGGATTAAAAAAACTACCGCCATCCTCATTTTTAAATTTCTCGAAGTAGTTTTGCAAATTACACTCAACAAAGGATCTCTATCGTGCGCAGCTATCCCTTGCATTTATTTTTTCATTGATATTCGCGATCGGAATTGGGAACCTGAATCATCAACGGCGTCATGGAATTTTACGAGAGTGGCTAAACGTGAGGTAAGTGAAACGTTAGCGTTAATCGCATTTAATGACATCAAAACCTGCAGGAATATTGGCGCTAAAGGCAACAAATTTACGAATTTTAGCGGTACAATAACATAAGCGTTGATTTATTTCTTAAATGTGGACATTTCGGCAAAAATTAATTTAATGCTAAAAGAATACGAATGCAAAATGGCGCAAGGATGAAAAAAACTTATAAGGCGAAAATTTAAATACGCTATAATGAAAGTAAAATTCAAATTATTAGTGTTGAATTATAAATGTGTTATTTCTCTACAAACGCTAAATTTAGTTTATTAGAAATACACGAAGACGATGAATGAGATAAATTGATAATTAGACTGTAGCGAAACGCAACAGGAAGCTATCTTTAACTAAAAAAATCATCTTGTTTTCACCTCAACCATTTATTAAAATTTTTGCCACGATGTCGCGCAGATTTGAGTATGAAGTTTAGTGATAAATAGGTTGATATGTTTCTCCGAATGATTTTACGAAAGCAAGATATAACTGCCTTCCTTAAACAATGTGTTAAAGAAAAATACTAGTTATTTCTAGAGGACAAAGAGCCTTAAATTTGTTCTGGAGTTGTAGAGTTAACTCGCGGATCGCGAAGTTTTATTCATTATCAATTGTTTCAGTTACATCTTCTTCATGTTATTTACAATTTTGCGGTACTGAATAAATTTTTGTTATTTTGCTATTAAATTGACAACAAGAGAGGCTTAGTTAACTTTGGAAGTGAGTGGAGTAGTTACAAAATAATAACTTTCTTTCGCTGTTCAGTTAAATTAAGGACGCAACAAACATAGTATATATTTAGCACAAAAAACATTGAAAAAATAATAATATGCGGTTGTGCTTGTTAATTTCGATGGTCCATTATTAAAAAAAAACACCCTTATGTGCGTTGACTGTTAACAAATACAAAGTGCTCGAGAAGGGCTCAATTCACACATGTATTCTTAACATATCGTTGCAAACTCTAAACTGCATTTTCATTTGGGAAGACCGTAAATTATGGGGCTGATAACTTTTTTTTTCAAACTTTCTACTTCTATGAATGTTTGTGTAATATAATAAAAGCAGTCCTACGTTAAGTCTTTCTTTCACAGACTGAAAATTAAAGACTATTTCATTGCAAGGTTATTGTAGCCCGCATTGCAGCCGGCCCCCGCATCTTCTAGACAATTTATATATAGCAGGTTTAGAGTGTTTGCGAAGCAGGCAAGGTTATTGTGACAATTAAAATTGCCTATTGACAGTTGACCTTCGGTGCGGTCGCCTCTATTTTTATCCCTTTTCTCCGGTAAGTGACGCTCAGATGGATACCTGGTCACATGGGCCGGCACAAGTTCCCTAAAGGGTATCGGGTATAATGTGAATAAATGCCACCCCAAGTCGTAGGCCCACACGGCTACAAAAGCTTACAAAAACAACTCAATAAGAAGAAGAGGCATAAACAAATCCCTATTTGCAAAGAAATATTTCCTATAAGCGTCAAATGTCGATCAGCATCACACGCACATCAGATGCACGATTCTCATGACAGCCATCACAAAGTGACCTTTACATGTAATAGCAGAAGTAGTTATAATTAAAGCCACCTATATGTCACCCCATTTGCTATATTTTGAAAAAAGCTAAAAACTTGTCTTCGCGTCGATGAATTCGAAAAATAATGGTCCTGGTTTGTCACTTAAGAATTTATTTTAAGCATTGAATTCTGTTTCCCGTTGTCTGTTGCGATGGATGGCAAAGATGGACATGGATCGAAACACTTTTTCAAGTTTTAATGCTATGCCTGCAAAAATCACTTAAACAGTTATTGTGGTTTATAGTGCTCCTTAAAGAAATTTTTTTGAGTAATTCTACCGGCCGGGAGCATTTTGTACATGTCAAAGGGCACTAAGCATGCAATGACTTCAACACAGATATGACCTAAAACAGCGATATCCTTTGCCTGGGTCGCAGACACTCGTAACCTTCTGTATAGACTACACTATACAGGGGCATCCAACGACAGTCTGCTCGGAGAAGCAAAACTTGTCTATAATTTGCTGTACCTTGAGGAAGGCTAAAGATTTTCCAGATGACCGTTCCATTCATCTACAATTTTCTAAGCTTATCTAATAAATTCCCTACGATTTTCTGAAGTTTAATTTGTTCGCATTTCATCCCCTGGATTAAGCTTTTTTCTTTTGCGGAAAAAGGAAACCTAAAATTTCCGCATTCGAAAATGCGATGGAAAGAGGAATCAGGAAAAGTCTCACTTTCCTAAAACTTTAAATTGCATCTAAAATTTTCGGGAAAATAATACTGAAGTCCTGGTAATTTCGAAAAGACTTATTAAGTTGCCCTAGGGCGACCGAACAGATATAAATTTTATGGCGTCGATTAGAACGTATTTCTATAAAGCTGGATAGCTTAAAAAGTGTTTTCAATGCATTTAGGAGGAAAACATCGTTGGGTGCCCTTGACTATACTAATGGTTTAGATAATGAGTGAGCCGACTGCTACGGAGGCTACGATATCCTGCGGAAGTAGACGCTTAAAATAGCAGAAGCAGTTGTAATTGACTAAAGTTAAAGATGGAGTAAAATGAACCCATTAACAAACTACTGACAAACTGGTTTTGGACGAGTCAAACTAGTTTTAGTGAGTTCAATCCTATGGACATTACTGCCCGACCTGAGTTATGACGATTGTGTTGTTCGTAAGAATACGACATGCAGTATAAAAAATGAAAAGTTTTATTCATTTTTTCTTCCCTTAAGGTTGCTATGGCAAATGAGACAACTATCTCGCCGACAACTGAAGCAAAAGGTGATATTATATGTATGAGTATACACATGAAGTCACTAAAACTCGTAAGCATGAATAAATGAATATTTAGAGCCCTGTTAAAATACATGTCTTGAAACAGCGACATAAAGGTGATGTTACACGAAACGATTCGCAACGACGATTTTTAGCGCAACACTGGGTTCAAATGTTGGAGTGCAGCCTTTCGAAACGATGTCACTGGAACAATGTTGTAATGTGTTGCGCTAAAAATCGTCGTTGCAAAATCGTCCCGTGTAACATCACCTTAAAACAGATGGAATAGCAACAAACAACATGTAGGTGGGTTGAAAATGCGACAGCGGCGAGGACAATAGCAAATATAATGAGTGAGATACCGACAGGAACATGGCCTCCTCCTCGTTACGCGAAACGACCCGCACGCGCGGTTTTGAAATTTAGCCTAAGGACATACGTACTTCCCTAAGAGGGCCTGGGTTTAGAGCAGGATCAGGACGAAAACCAAGCCATTTGTGATCAAGACATCTTTCATGTTAATATCCAGTGGCGGATCTGGGGGAGCGGCCAGGGGTGCCCCCCCCCCCCCATATTTTTAAACTAAACGGAGGCCCGAAGGGCCCGAAAAATGTTTTTTTGAGACCGGGCATCCCCCTTATCTTAGGGTCTGGATGATCGCCCCGCCACCCTTATCTGAATGTCTCGATCCGCCACTGATATCAATAGAAATCTTTTGCAAATTGCACCGTTTTTTCCAGTGCGAGTTGTTCGAATTATTTCATCATTTTTTAGCTTTCGGTAAGTATACTATCCCGCGATGCAGCACAACTTTTATACCTTGCAATTAAATTACTACTAACACCCTTACTTAAATGCGCATTTTTTTCAAAGTTAAAAACCCGTGCAGTTTGTCCATGGTAGAGGATTTACGGTGTAACGAAATTTTGCAAAGTTCAAGGAGTGACAGCTGCCACCAAATAGAAAGATAAAAATAACGACTCAAAATAAACATTAAAAGAAGTTATGGATGTACAAACTTAAGGAAATTAAAACGGATTACGATTTTGATTTTTGAAAACTTCTTGGCCTACAGTTTTTTTTTTCAAGGTTCATTTTCGAAGCTGTGAAATTTGACTGTTAAAAGTACATTCCCGGCACTAATGTCAAGATCCGTAGCGAAAAAAAGTCGAGTTATAGGTAATATTAACCCAATGAACTAGCGGAGCCTATTCATGTACTAATTAAAAATACATCTTGCCTTTTTATTGACAGATATTCCATACGGTATTGTCTTGGTATGGTGCATCGCTGGTGTTCTTGTCATTATCTTGGTCATAGTTGCTGTTTACTACAGCTATGTCATCTGCTGTCAAAAGAAGAGAGGCAATCAAAGGTATCTTTTTAAAATCATAAACAATGCGCTAAAATTTTGGTATTTGAATTACGCGACGCGAGCAAGTGGAAGGCACTGTATACCACGTGAACGATCGATGGTCACTTGATAAAAGTGCCAATTCAACAATACACTGGGAAAATTTTCTACAGACAACTGCGGTCGCGTGGATTATACTACACTGCTTTAAAACAACATGTGTGAGGAGGAAGACGTGGATTCGTTCTTTCTTTTTGTTGTTTGTACCATTTGAAATGTGGACAAAAAGCTGCAACTTTATCATTTACAAATAACGTTTTCCCTAAAGTTAAGTCTTATAGCGAATAAAAAGCATTACTGCCAATACTAACAGCCGTAAAAATAGCCCCTTTGATAAGAAATTGGCAAAACCTCCGACATCCGATGACAATGATGATCGTTTGATAGTATCTGGGGGTGTCATTATAAAGAGTTTTTATTGATGTTGTTGTTCACGTCGTTGTCCCCTGGCTGGCATCGATGATGATGATGATGATGATAATGGCGATGATAATAATAAAGTTGTTGTTGGTTATAATGAAGATGTCCAGATGACGTAATAATGGTTATGATGATAATCATGATGACAATGTTGACGATGACCATGACAATGACACATCGCGGTATAAAACAGAGAACAATCACCTTTAGCACCATGAAATAAGTGACGTTTATTTATACAAAAAAATGTTGTTGTTTTTTTTATTTCAGACCTTACCCGCAGCAAAATCATCCAAAATATCTCATAGAAGACTATCCAAAAGGATTCATCGACTATCTACATAACGGCAATATCAATTCAAGAGCCATGTTTTCTCCATCATTTGTCGATCACATGCGAATTCCTCGAGCAATGGAAGTTAAAATAATCGATACAGTGAATAGTTTGAATGAATCGCACTCTCAACCTCCCTACAGTCCGACAAACCATACGCCAACACGGGGTATGAACGAACTTCTTAACCCTGACATGTTTTCTTTTCCTAACGAAAGAATAACGCCGGCTTTACCTGAGCAGGAACGAATGCCGCCTTCCAGACAGCAATCGTTTAGATACTCAAACATGAGTGTTGAAGAATCGAAGGAAAGGATTTATAAAGAGAAAATGCTTGTTTCTGAGCTTCGGGAGAAATTACAAAACCAAAGAAAGGTTGACGAGCGAAATTGAAATGTGCGGACGCCACATAGTGATAAATTACAGTCAAATGAATTCACTTAAAAACAAGAAGATGGAGTTTGAAGTTTAAGACTGATTGACGAGAAAACAAAAGAAACTCAATTCACTAGCAGATTTTAATTTTGGAATGAAAAGAACACTTCTCATGCGAATGATGAATGCGGCCTTGGGATTTTTGATGAAGAGTTCTGTTGCCAGCGTTTGCATCAAGTGAGAAGCGAACTTAAAGGATAGTTTAGTGAGGCAATTGTGCTGAGCCAAAGGCTTCAAGCCTTGAATAATAAAGTGTCAGCAAAGTTCTTATTATCATAATAATGATAATGAATTACTATTTTTATTTGTTATTATTATTATTATTATTATTATTACTTCTTGTATCTTTTCTAATTTTAGCTGACCGCTGACCGTACTGACCTACGAGTTTCGAATATTATGCTTTCATTTAGGAGAGAAAAAGTTAAGAGGTTCAAATAGGATTTTCCAAGTGAAAAGAAAAAAATAAAGTGCAGAACTAATAGGGAGCCCTGACCCGGGACTTAAAAGAGAGGCGACTAGCAAACACATAATGCCAAAGCTGACATAGTTAGTGAAATGTCCCTGAGTTTTAAGCCATCTTGGGTTCCGTTTATGACGTGACTGTCTGATTTTTGAATTTAGGAATTTTAGAAATTTAGAATCGCGTTTACAGCTAAGGGCAAACGTCAGTTTCAAGTTGGTACTGTTTCTCAATGAAGGAAACAAGCGGCTAAAAATTGTCGATAACAATTCGTAAGGATGAAACTGGCATGAATTCACTAATTTCTGTGTAGTAAGTAAACGACAAATAAAGGGAAAACTTAGTCACGTGGTGCAAATTGACGTTTGCCGTTTTGCGTAAACACGATTCTAAATTTCTCTTACTATTAACTTGAGCAAAGTAGGTCTTAATAAAATCAACTTTTCAGCTGGTAAAATATTTTTATATTTAAGTGTAAAAATTTTATCTTCATATCCTTGATATTAAATTACAATAAATGAAGAGAAATTTTTCGAATTGATGATTATTGCGTTGTGATATCTTTGTCTAAAATTAATGTTATATTTATTTTAATTTCAAAGACTTTCTTAGTGCTATGAGGTCTTGTTTGGCATTGGTCAACAATGTGCTTTTCTAATTAGCTTCTTGTGGAACCATTTTTACACAACTTGCTCCAAATGGTTCACAATTTCCTCCTGACAAAGAACCCTCTTGGCCCTCTCTCGGTGACTCATTTTTAGCCCGAGGGTCTTAATATCCGTTCTCCCTTCTAAATTTAAACTATTGGCCCTAACATGAAACTCTTGAAGGATGTCTGCTTTGACTTCACCTTGGCTTTGAAAGTGTTTTAACCCACGTGTGGTGTAAACGGGTCGTTAAATTAACCAAATTTAACAATATTAACAATTTGATATGAACAGGTTATAAAATAGAATTCTGGGCACAAACAGCTCCTTCGAATTTACTTTCTAAAGGAATTGTTTCCCTTCGTGTAGAAACAAACGGCCTTCAGTTTCGGGGGAAATTATCCGAGATCCAGAAAAAATTCTTTGGGATTCTAAAAGAGAAAACTAACCCATTTTGTGTTTGTATTCTTGACTGTTTCTGTTTTGCTTACATATCTAACCCTAAGATAAAAGACAGATTATCATGGTATGTTTGGTACCTGTTTTTACAAAGTCATGTGGAGCATTATTAACCTTTAGTTAATTCATTCATAAAGCACGATCAAAAGAACTTAATTCCACGAGGCCTTCAATTTCTCTTTTGATCTGTACTCTGAACAAGCAGGTTTTGATAAATAATAAATAAGGAGCAGAGATAGCCTGCTCTTAAATCGCAGTTATTTAACTCGAAAACTCTAAGCCGCGTGTAATAAAGAGCCCAGGTGACACTAAGAGAAAAACGTTATCTGTTTTCCGAGGAAACGTTTTTTTTTTTCTGGAGCAAAAAAAAAAACAGTATTGAGTTCTTTTGCACGATCCGCACTTAATTTATGTAGTACCTTGCTTCTGATGGCAAGTTTTCAAACTTTTTAAGGGGCTTTGTTCTCCCCGGGGGGGGGGGTACTTCCTAGTAATAGGCTAATGGGGATGTGCCGCTGGATGGGGCGGCATTTTCACGACTGGATTGATTACAAAGGGGTTGCATTTTCAGTTGAGTTACTAGAATGGGATCGCACATTTTTGGGACTTTGGGGGGTAAGAATATTCCGGTAATTAGAGATTTCAAACCGTGAGGATCCTTCTTAATGTTCTTCAGTTCGTCTGTTTAGGTTTTCCAAAGCTTCTTTTAATGCCCTGACATCTTCAATCTTAAAATTTTAAAACTTTGAAATTGCGAAATAAATACACACGTCAATTAAATAAGTAAAGGGAACGCGCGCACGCAACCTACACTAACTAAAAGGATAATGTAAAAAAATTAAATTAACAAAGGATATAGCGGCACCATTCAGTCATTGAAGCTAAACTAGGTATATAACACTTTTTTCGCATCCATTAAATTTCAAAAATCATGGCCCAGTTTTGTCATTTAAGACTATTTTATTTTCGGCATTTCCTTTCGGCTGATACAACGTATGACAAGAATGGAAATTAATTGAAACTTAAAAAGGTTGGAGCAGCTTCTCCATGTGTCAATGCTATGCCTGTAAAAATACCAAAGATATATTATGATAATGCTCCATACTGAAATTTCTTTTTATATATCTTCTTAACTCTAAAGGAACATTTAGTTATGCCTAAGACACTAAGTAATGACTCGAGCCGGATTTACCAAGAGCAACTTGCAACATTAGGGAGCTTAAGTAATAGCGTTTTTGAGCGAGGGACGTCAACCGGAAGTGCAGTTTTTGCATCATTAGGAAGTGGTTTGCAGGGGCACCCAACGACTGTTTTCTGTAAAATATCTGTTCGCAGAAGTAAATATCGCCTAGCATTTCCATCAATTCAGTGAGGAAGGTTAAAAATTTCTAGATAACCGTTCCATTCATTTACAATTTTCGAAGCTTATCTAATAAATCCCCTCGATTTTCTGAAGTTGAATTTTCCCACTTCACTTCCCAAGTGAGGCTATTTTTTCTGAGAAAAAAGGGAAACTTAAAAATTTTCGGGATTCAAAAATGTGATGGAGAGAGGAATCAGAAAATGTTTCATTTTCGTACTACGTCAAATTGCGTCTAAAATTTTCCGGGAAAGTAAAGCTCAAGCCCTTATAATTTCGAAAAGATCCAAGTTCCCCTAGGATGACCAAACAGATACAAATTCTATGGAGCCACTTAGAATGTATTTCTAAAGACTCAAAAGCACTCTGGATAGCTTAAAAAGTGTTTTCAATGTATTTAGGAGAAACCTGTCGTTGGGTGCCCCTGAGTGGTTTGGTTACTAAAAACTCTCGGGTAAATTGTCTTTAAAAGAGAAAATAAACTTGGCAATACAAATTTGTTAGCGTCAAGGCATATAAGAAGGGAAAAGGCCTCACTTCCGGTTGACGTGCGTCACTCAAAAACATCTTTGCCTAAGTTCCCTAATATCCTTTTTCTGAGGGAGGGAGGACGTCTGTACACAGGCTACAATATTGCCTAGAAATTTCTAAAGCTTGAGAAAAGCTAATTTTTTCTGGATAACCGTTCCATTCGTCTAAAATATTCGAAGGTTTTCTAATACAGCTTAACCACGATTTTGGGAGGTTATGTTAAACAAATTTTATCACTGAGCTATTGCGATTATTTTTAAAAAGGTCGCCTAAAACTTTCGGTATAAAGACAAAACGTACTTCATGTCCTCGAACTTTCGACCGGACCCATAAGGGTAGCTAACACTTTGGGATGAGACGAAAAAGCGACCAAAAACTTCCGTGACCACCAAAGTTCCCCCAAGACATCCGAACAGATCAATAGTTTTTAAAGACAACTCCAAATTAACCAAACAGGCTCCTAAAGTATAGAGAAAACCATCTGAGACACTTCTGGTGTATTTGGAAACATTCGGTCGTTGGGTGCCCCTGATTACAACACCTTTGTTCCAGTTACCTTGTGTGACTTGTCTGTGATAAAAACGTGCTGACCTTGATCATCCGGATACAGCATAAAAGGTTTGTTTTGAGCAATAAGACAAGTATATAAACACATGGGTTAGAATTTTGCACGAGTTGCCTTAAGGCCTTTGAAAGTTAATATTGAACATCGGTGATTTGTGCCGCGTCATCTTGGCCACTACAAAATGTATATTATAATGTCTTTCTATGCCTTTCATTGTTTAAAAGTGTCTTTGCACATTGTTTTGCTTGTTGTTATTCCTTTTGTCTTTGAAACGATAATGAATAATAGACAAGGCAAAACCAAATTAAGGAAAACAACTAAATAAAAATTGTCAGGAGGGAATCATTAATCAGTCGAATAACAAGATCCATGTCCTACGTGACAGTTAACACGTTGAAATAGCTTTCTTGTACTATAAAGGTTTATTGTTTACAGTTATACTACCCAAAAAAATCGAACTTTCTCAGACATTAAGGTGTTGCTCTTGTCTTATGCAACGATTTGCGTCTGAGCTTGCAATATTACTCCAATGATTTCTTCAAAAGTTATATACAAACAATTTTGTTGGGTAGGCCACAGCAAGCCACTCGTAAGCTGGCCATTTTTGATGACCGCTTCGAATAGAATTTAAACTTAAATTTCTTTTTTGCGATAATTTGGGAAAGACATTTTGACAGATAAAAGAAGTAATTAAAACACACGAAGATTTTTTTTTAGATCGTACTTCAAACCGAAGAGCAAACTTTTAGGTTAATGAATAAAACTGCGGTGCCCATTGAAGTTTCGTAGGAGGCTGTGTACATATATGGCTTGTCAGCACACGACGAAAAAAAAATACAAAAATTGCGCATTTTAATGAGGGCTAATGCATTAGCGTTACTCGCCTTACTTATGCGGCAAAGCGGACTCTTCATTAGTCTTGACTTTCACATTTAAAATATTTTGTGCGTTCGTTTTCCATATTTTCGAAGCCCTGAATTTGTAGATTAGAGAAAGCCGACTAGGTCGATCATATTAAAAGCGACTTTTTTCACTTTTAACTATATAGGCACCTTGTGCTAAATACACCGTTATTACTTACGCGTGGGTAGACAAAGATAATTAAGTTTCCATGTAACTGTAGTAAAATGAAAAACCCAGTTTATTGTGTTAATAGTATCATCGTTCTGCCTGATCTCATAGCCTGTCCGTTATTCCGGGATATGAGCTACGCAATCTAGCCCTATTTCAGACTACGGGTTATAGGATAATTTACCTGTACCCGTATTCTGTGGCTGTGTATCTTTTAAAGGTCTTTATCGGTTAGCGTAAACTGATTAATTGTTAAACCCTCTTCGGGCCACGTTGTCTACTTGAGCCAAAGCCATATGACTGTCTGTTGTTTAAACTGGATAATTAACGAATAATCAAGAGGTCAACACAAGCAATAACAAGCCACTCCGTTTTTTCTTTTTCCTCGCTCGCAACTGAGATTCAGGGTTTACTGTGTTACATACTTTTGCTGTACCCTGCGAGCGAGCCTCGAAAGAAAACGTATGGCTCTCGCAACTCCTCCAAATGGAGGGCTTCCTGGCAGTCTAACGTGGTGTAGGCTCAATAACCTCCATCTTCCCCTCAACATAACAGAAAATCTATGTAGGATTTTCTGCGATTTGATTCCAAAATATTCTCCGTAAATCTATTATCAGAATAAATTTTAAAAATATTTTGTTCCTTCAACTAATCTGTTTCAATAAATAACAAACCTAAACGGCTACAGAAGATTTTATCGACTAGACAAAACCTTTTGGTTTTACACTTCGGCTAACGGAGGCGTATTTTGACTATTAATCGGCATAACAGACAATTCCGCCGACATTGCTTTGAAAACAGACTTGATTTTCTTTATCATAGTGTATATTGTGTTCTATCAATAATTCTATTCAGTCCATTTTGTATCAGCATCTAAGAGATTAAGCCATGTGGACTTTGAGTGATACGACGATATGGTTTCAAACCATTTCGTCAACGTTGCTAGGCACAAAAATGTTGAAATCACGTGCTCAAAATCTGCTAATAGTTGCTAATAGTTGTTTCCAAATTTTCATAATAATAATAGCGGTTCTTATTACGCATTTCGCGTACGCCTCAATGCGTTTTGGTTTCTCTGCTGAAGTCAACTTTGCTCAAAACATCATATCACCCTTGCGGACGCACCGTCGTGAAAAATTGCTAATAAAGTTACTGTTAATAAAAGACACCACAAAATAAAATTAAGGCACTATTAGCTATTTCAAATACCGATGTCCGAGTCGAGGCAGTGCGCATGGGCGATTTCATGACTGAACACAGAAAATCATGGCAACTGATTAGAATACATTCAAGTTTGAAACTAAGAGTACAAGATTTTTTCACTCAGTTATAACCAAGAACTTGTTTTAGTAACTCGTCATTAGCCATTAGTTGGCCAACTAATGGCGCGGAAATTAAAACTACAATACTCTTTCTGGTTCCGATTTGCCTTACTGACAAATCCGGTCAAGAAAATAAGTTGAAACTCTGTTATATGTCGTTTAACCGACGTAAAACTGTCTCAAACTCGTTCAATAATGCCGTGAAAATAGAGCAAATAAAATTCCGAAAATAAGCTCCTCCGTATAAAATATACCTGTTACATATTCTTGGGAATTGTCCTTAAGTAAGGAATAACAAATCACACCGATACTCCTTTTGAACTAAACGTGATTTTTTGAGCATGGATTCGCTAACGTTTAGCTGAGAAACTACCGTATTAGAACAAATGACTATCGTATAAACAAACTATAAACTGGTATGTCATTGATGGTAAATATGTACATTTTCAATTTAGTTTCTTGCTGTGAGTGGTGAAGTTGGCAACATCGTTAAGAGGGATTACGAAAAAATGAAGGATCTTTCGTCAAATGCCCAATATTATCATTCGGTAAAGTGGAAAATCTCGGACAAAAATTCCCTCCAGTAATAAGCCAATGAGAATTTGAAACGCAAATTTCTAATATATAATGAAAATAATGAAAAAGGCGTTTGGATCGCGGGTTATTTTCGGAGGTACCATGATGCAACATTCGCCATAATTCAGAATAATCCTGTTTCCTTATCTATACTAACTTGTCACTGATATATTTGCCGTTTGAACCCTGTCTTTCCTTCAAATTTTTGTATCATACTTGACCGACTCCCAAAGGCTAGCACCTGGGCCAAATGGAGTGCTATTTAAGGAAATATGACACCTTGCCAATCTATACTTGTAGTCTTTTCACGGTGAAGTAAAAAGTTAAAAGGCCGTATTGACCGCGTATAAAGTCCGGCCGTATTGACCGCTTAAAGGTCGCAGTGACCACAAGTCTGCTTATACGATTTGACATTACAGTCTGAAACACAAACGTAGTGAATTTAACATCTGCACCTTCGAGAGAAATTTTAATTGCCTTATTTGTGAATATTTTTGTCACGTTTGCTTTGACATTAGCGCTCTAGGATAATAACCGCCTTAAGTTTGTTTGCATGAGAATACGATAAATAGCTTGGCAGCGGGATCACCAAGGAGAAATTTATTCCGTCCCGTGTGGGAAAAAAATGTCCGTAAAAACCGACCACAATTGCTGTACTCTCCAACCATTTCATCCAAATACAAAAACCACATAGCCTTATGTCTTGTATAACTGTGGCCTATCTGTTTTTAATGCGGCAGTGTGGCTAATTTAATGAATTCATTCGTCGATTAAGGCTTTGCGTCTGTTTTAAGACTTCGTATAAATATTTTACAGCTTTGCTCCCGTTACCCGATGCAAAGAACCAGGAGGTGCGCATGCGCGATGCGTCATCTGACAGGTGGCCGGTAAATGTTCCTCCCGAATTCAATTCTCAGCACGTGCCTCTTAACAGAGCTATAATAGAAATTCCACTGGTTTTAAATTGTGTTCGATCTCTTTGTGCCTTAACAGGCATTTTCGTGCTGTTGCTTTCGTCTTTTGTCCGCTTGCACGTCAAGTAAACAAAGCGTTCGGGAAAGTATTGATCTTGGACCGGGTTTTTGAGTCATTAACAATCTGTCATGATGAATAGATTCCAAGTTCTTTTGGTTTTGTGGTTTCTAATCCTTGATGCGTCTTTTGGCGTTCATAGAGTTTACCTGATTAGACAGCGAGCATGTCTACAACGGATTTTAAAAATTTGGAAATTTTTTTTAAAGAAACGCTACTTAAAGTTTCGCTGGTATTAACTAGTCGTTTTTGAACGTTTTCAGTTTACAGAAATTCAACCTAAGACTTCACAGTCATGAGAATTAGAAGATGAGGTGATTCTTGGCTGAATTTGCTACTTTTCGATGTGCTTTTGACAAAAAGACAATTAAATACCGGACAAAATGATTATTTCCTCTAATGATATGAAATGTAGCACGCTTAAGTACTTTAATGTTCCAATAATCGCACGCGGGTAATTGCAACTTCCCCTTTGTAGAGAAGCGAAAGCATTTAGTTTCCTCCGCGACTACAGCCAATCACAGGCTAGGACATTTCGCAATAACAAACTGGTGACCAATCAGAGCCCGGTTAGAAGCTCGCACCTGTTTCATTAAGGACGTCAAATCTCATTCCCGTGGATAGGGTTGACTTAACTCGCCCGATTGCCTTGTGAAATCGTTTAAACACCTCAGCTGCTTATTTTGTAAACTTCAACAAGGTGTTGCCCATCTGAGCGGCACGTATAACAATTTTTATGGACCGGTCACCTCTTCATCCGCCCATAGATACGGAGTTTAACATGCAAGGTAAGCTTTCTAGTATTTAATTAAAGTTCTCAGCATTGCCTTTTCATGCCGTGGTTAACAACACGTGAAACGAGGGGCTAAAATCATTTCTTTGCACCACAAAGGGTCTCAGGTGAGGCCCCACCTGAAAAGCAGTTAATTAGGCTCATATTCTTGTAACTATAGAAGAAAAACGCCAGAAATAGTTTCACAAAGATATTTAACTTCCAGTTAGTCGCAATCCCAGCTCGCTTGGTGCTTTTCGAGGCGTGTTTCTGGCATCGTTCGTTTGTTTTGATTCGCGTGCAAAACATCAAACGAGGACTGGCTGTGAGGAGTTTCTTTACAAAACGGCCTCACGATATTCTATACTTAAACTTTTTTATAGTCTTCTGAAGCATTGCAATCAAAGGGTCTTAGACAAAGTTAGAGAGATTTCAGTCTGGCGACTAGGGGATTATAAATTTCGTTCGATATCTTTGCGATTATGCCCGGTCGCCTCGCCTCGCATTGATTTCATAAGGCCACGAATTGATCATGTCAGCACAAGAGGGCTTCTCAAGCGATTGTCTGTGCGAAATTTCCTAAGTAACCTTATCATTGATCTACCAACTTATTTTCCCTCATCAATAGTTGTTATTGAACTGTGATTGGCTGAAACCTAGGTAAAAGTTTCCACTGTAGTTTAGGGGTAGTCTAACGGGTTTTCTCGTTTCATCCGCAGCCGTAGAGCGCAAGCCTGTTATCTTGTGCAAAGTTTGTGGAGACAGATCTTCGGGAAAACACTACGGCGTGTTCACCTGCGACGGCTGCCGCGGTTTTTTTAAACGATCAATACGCCGGAATTTAAACTATCAGTGCAAAGAGCGCGGAAACTGCACGGTCGATGTAACACGGCGAAATCAGTGCCAGGCCTGCAGATTAAAGAAGTGCTTTGAAGTTAAGATGAATAAAGACGGTAAGCGGAAGGACTTTATCTGTAAAGCTCGATTCGTCGTTAATTTTATCTTAAATTTACGTATATCTTTTTACGTCTAAGTCCCTTTGACTATGGGCAGTGCTCGCAGGCCATAATCCCCTTGTGTACATAAACTCGCTCGGGCGTGTAATACTCTATGCAGTACAGTATGGACCGGTTAACTTGCAAATGGATAAATTTGTAATTAGTTGTAAGTTAATTTATTTACCCACTGGGTAATTTAGTGAAGTTTTAATAGTTCCACAGAAAAAAGCGGTCTCTTTTTAAAGGCCTTAATTAGCCATAAGCGTACTGAACAAATCTGGTCGCTTCTTTATGCTTTGTTTATTCGGCTCAACTTTATTGCTCGATTCCACAGTCGTTCGTCTCTCAGTGAATTAGCAAAAATGTTAAAAGTAGAAATAAAAGCAAGAAAGACATATCAAACTTGTGTTTCTGCAAATGAACCAAATTAAAGTATATTATGTGAACCTCTGTGTGCAATCTGACCCATCATAGATAAATTTATCAATTTCATCAGCACCTTTGTCACAACACAAAACGGCGGCAAGTTTCCCTTTTAAAACCTCGGATATCATATCATAGACTAGAAAAAGGATACAACTCGTTTTTTTTTTTAAAGTAAAAGCTTTTCACAATATTTAATTAAATCAACAGTACGTTTTGGAAAAGTAACAATAAATCCTTCTAAGAACAAAATTGTGATCGCCTTGCCAGAAGAAAACATCTGCCCCTAACGACAGTTCACCGGCAGGTCTTATTTATAATTAACGCAATCTAAATTGCAGATTTCCACTTTTATATTATCCTTTTGCGTTAAATGGGCCTGAGCTAAGATATATTAAATTTCTGTTATGTTTTCTTAAGAACTGTTTTCTTTTCTCGTCACCGACTCACATGCCTCTAATGTTGCTTTTTCAGTTAGAGTAAATGTATACCCCACCACTGTCACCTTAAAAATGCCAATTGGCTGCGCCAAAAAAGTGTCATTTGCGGGAACATCCCTGGTACACAAATATGTCTTAACTGCGGTTTTGGGCGACCTTAGGGTTCCCTTGGTCTTGTTTAATAATTTACGTCGGTCTTGTTTGACTCATTCATATGAGTGTGATCGAATCGAGGGACTGTGGCGGCTTCAACTTTTAACGCAAACAAATGTTATCATAGCCAACAAAGGGCAACGGGTTGGTTTTTAAACCCCAGACGGGTACAAAAATTAAGAAAAATGCTGGATAGACAAACTTTAGAACGTCATGTTGCAAATTAATTAAAAGCAAAAGGGGAAGCTAATATTAAACAGCTTCAACATCCGCGCATTTCTAGTACTATATCCGTCATTAACATTCTTTTTTTGTTCAAATGATACTCTAATTGAGAATCGTCATAAGTGAACTCCAAATTCAGAATCATCTTAAAATGCATCGGAAATGGTTGCTTGTTTAACGGCAATTCCCAACATTTCACAGGGTGCGGTTATTAAATACTTTAGCATGCTAAGAATCCTCAATGTACTCAAATTCGGATCGGAACCAACTAAAAAACGTGTTGTTGTTCAAGAAACTCCCTTGCACTAAAACGTTTGACCGTTAAGAATTCTTTAAACGTTTCAGCATTTTCAAGAGCAAGCTTTATTTGCAGATTTGGGCAAAATGAGAAGCAGAGCTTGAAAGTCAATAGGGCCGGGAGGCATTTTGAATAAACTAATCTTCAGAGATTTTGACAGCGACCAGGCAAAATTGTTCAAATCATGACTTTAGATCAAGAGAAAATAATCTAAAAACAAATTATCTTCTTTTAGATCGATGTATTGCATTGTCTTTGTCAAAAATGCTGAATCTGAGCCAAAAATTGATAAATTAAATTTCCAAAAAATTCTTTCTAATGAACTGAAACACGCTCTTTCATGGAGATTGCTCGATCCACTTTAAAGATATTTCGCAGGATACGCTCACATTGTTCCAGATTAACTCTTAAGAAACTGAAAGTGTGTATTGTGGTTTAAAGCGTTCTTTTCGATCTTAACTCAGTGGTGTGTGGGCTGCTTTCGAATGTTTGTGTTTTTGGATAACCATTTTATTAAATGTCCATAATTCAAGACAATTAAGGCCAAGTTTACTGGCTTTTTGGCATTGCGACAAAAAGAAGCATTAATTTTGGTGTTTGTTTAGTTTTTCACCTGAACTTAATATTCGGTCATCTTCGTCAAAATGAAACTACCACTTGCGTACGTTTTGCTGTGAAAAGCCTTCTTTAACATGTTTACTGGCAGTTAAAACATGCATCTTAACACGACAGTGAAAAAAAGTTTGCCACAAACTCCTTTCTGTAAGTTTATTTTAGCTATTTATGTCGACAATTTCTCTAAAGGCTTTCGACGAACAATTAAAGTTTGTTTGACATATTTGCAAATTGTTTTAAAAACTTTAGATGCGAAAAAATATTCAGGTACTTTTTCCCTTTAAGTGATACACTACGTCGCAAAAAGTATACGATATCCCATATCAACTCTACGTAATGAAAACGAGCATTATGATTGGTTCTTGATAAGTCCTGATTAGGCAATATATGAACTGTACAATATCATTGAAGGCACCGATCACGTACCAAGTTGTACTTTAAAGGAACCCCGCGAGAATTTTTGAGCCACATTTTCGAATGTATACCTTACTGAGTTGATTGTTTGGAAACCTCAAACTATTAGTTTTGCGAAGGAAGATTTAAAATTAAACGACAATCTTTTCAGTTCACGAATTGTTGACCTAGCTCTTTTAAAATTAGTTTTGAAAAGGAAACTTTTGTGCGAGAATTAAGCTTCGGTAAAACGGGCGACAAAAACAGCGATGTTGCTCGTTTTACCACCCTCGTGACCTGTTAAAAACCCAGTTTGTTGCGAGACAGGTTTGGCGTGGGTGGTAAAAAGCGTAACATCGCTATTCAACTTATTTTGCAGCAATTTTACAAGACAAGTTGCACGCCTTTTGTCGCCCAATTTATCGTACCTTTAGTAACTTGTTTTCTGCTCTTATACGAAGAAGGGCCAAGAGACTTACAAAATCTGTTCGCTATAACAAGGTTTCGTTATGTCGAGGTTCTATTCCATATATTTTACTATTGCTGGGTAAAAAATATCGTTTATTTTACCGAGGACTTCGTTACATAGAGGTTCGTTACATCGAGGTCTCACTGTAGTTTTTTAGAAGTATTATTTGTTGCGATACCATGTGTTGGTAAAATGTCGAGTGAGAAAATGAGGCTAAAAGGATTTCCGGCAACATTTCCTTATTGGTTGATGTTAAATGTGTCTAAACTAAACTAATAGAACATAAATAAATAAATGAATTAATACATAAATAACCTTATTTTAGAGTTTTAGACATTTCCATTCTCGCTTAAACGCTTATTTTAATTTTAGAAGTCAGTCTTTAGTCAGCGAATTCATTCTAATTACGTTGTGAATTTTTAATATCCCAATCTGACTCCATACAAATGTTTATAAAAGTTACCTGGGTTGGTTTCAGCCCTTTTTTAAAAGTGAAATTAAATAGCTGTCTAGAGCTTTGTTTTCAACTCAGTTCTTTCTGTGGGGTAAATGTGAACGAACTTAACAAATAGCTAAATGAAGAAGATGAAATTGCTTGCATTTGGATTAACAACGTCTTCTTAGTATTTTATGGTGGCTATAAAGGTGTTGCATCTTTTTATTACTATGATAGTCTTCTGATTATAAATCAATTTTTGTTGCGCAATACTACAAAAGAATGGAGTGAATCTCCGAGTCTTTTTCGTGACCTAAAACGGTTCCATAGCAACGCTTTAACCTGTTTAAGACATCCTTAAAGTTAGCAACGGCCTCTTATTCTTTACACCCGAGCCCTATATACAAGCATTCAAAAGTACTCTTGTTTTTTCCTCAGCGGTCCAACACGAGCGTGCCCCACGCTCCTCGCAGGTTGTCTCTATGGCACCCGCGTGTTCGATGCTCGGTGGAGTATACGACCAGCCGACAGCGCATGCTCCTGAGCAGCAGTTCGCATACACCAAGAGCGACCCCAGTGATGGTCCTCAACGCCAGTGCAGTCCTGCGTCAGAAGTGAATCACACAAGACCCAGCGAACACACAAGCTTTTCTCCCCCAGCCTCCCGCCCTTATCACGGCCAGAACAACAATCAGTCCCCAGACTCCACTAAAAAGCGCAGTTTTCTCTCGATAACAAGCATGATTGACACTGAAGAAAACAGCTCCCAGGCCTCGCCCAGCACAGCGCATTCGAGTCCCAACCAAGTAAAAGAGAACGCTACCGAAGGACCACCTATGGTTTTCCAGCCTTCCCCGGAATCGCTATACGAATCCGCGGTACAACTGCTATATATGTCAGTCACGTGGGCGAGAAATATCCCAACATTCCTGGATCTCCCATTCCGGGATCAGGCAATTTTGTTGGAGGAGTGCTGGAGCGAGTTGTTTGTTCTGAGTGCCGCCCAGTTCTCTCTACCAGTGGACATGGGGCCGCTCCTCTCTGCTGCTGGGCTGCAAGTAGATAAAGCCCCTACCGATAAGATTGTTGCTGGAATGGCCGACATCAGACTACTGCAGAACGTTGTGGCCAGGTTCAAGCGAGTACAGATCGATTCTACTGAATACGCGTGCTTGAAGGCTATTGTGTTGTTCAAACCAGGTAAGTTGGCCTGTGTTTGTGGAAGATGAGTTTGAATTAATGTAGTCAAGTAATACTTGTAATATCACCTCGAAAATTAAGCAAGTGCACCGGAATGTTTAAATTTCGTTACTCTGAACACTGTACATAACAAGGCATACAAAGACATTATTTCGGTGTACATCTAGCGTCCAATGTTGTTCTTCATCTAACTCCTTAACTTATTAGTAGAATTCGAAATTGAAGGCGGAAACACTTGATCAGTTACCTATAATGATACCCAAAATGTTGTGTGTGATCAAGCAAGATTTTTTAGGGGCTTCATTTTTTTAGGTATGGTAATGAACTATGGCGACTTTGAAATAAAGAAAAATAAAATTGGAACCAAGGGAAGTTGAACCACAACAGTGCTCTGTAAATTATAAGCATTTGCTGTAGCCCCAGAACTGGACGTTGCGATGAATAAAATAAGGACGTCATTTTCGATAAATTTGACCATGTAAAAGGGGACTATAACAGATTAATTTCCAAAGATGGATAATGGGCTAAAATACGTCCCACACTGTACTCAGGAGAGCTCCACACTGTGACGGACCAACCTAGTCTATGGACAATACAATACAATACTTTATTATTTACCCACGCTACATCTAGGAGTGATGAAAACTCGTTAAAACATGTTTAAAAGACGTTTAAAAGTGAAAATATCCTTGGCGTTTCTAACATACGTAGGTGGAGAATTCCAAAGTTTTGCTGCCAAAAATGAAACTGACTTATGGCGCCATTCTAAATTAAAATTGGGTAGCGTTAAAAGTGTTCCCACCCTCTTAAATGATAACTACAGATTTTAATTTTAAAAAAAATTCTTCCTGGAGTTCCCAAGAATAATATTAGCACTTGGTGGAGTGGGAACAGATCTGAATTTAAATAATAGCTGCAACTCAATTCCAAGTTAGGGCTTCGTTGAAGAGATTTTAATAAAACTTTTCACCTTCCTTTGTAGACTTGCGAGGCCTCCGCGCTCCGCACATGGTAGAGAGACTACAGGACCAAGCTCAAGCAATGCTTGGGGAATATTGCCGCAGTCACACTCCTGATCAACAAGTCAGATTTGGCAAACTACTATTGATGCTTCCTTCTCTACGATCGGTCAGTCCAAAGATGATTGAAGATCTGTTCTTCCGAGGAGCCCTTGACAATGTTCCTATCGAGCGAATGCTTTGCGATATGTTCAAATCAAGCTAAGTAGAATTGAAACAACTCAGAGTACATCAAACTCTATACGGCAAAACAGATGGTTTTGTTTTTTCTTTAAAAAACGTCAATTGTCGCTGGCAAGACTTTGAAGCACCGAGTGCACGTGGGGCTTTATTTATAATACCCCTCCAATTTTTGAGCGCCCTCCAGACCTTTCATGACCAATCTCCAACTTCGACTGTTTTGCAGTCTTACCAGAGGATAAATCTCAGTTTCTAATTAAAATACATAGAAAGTTACACATCATCAAAGACGGTTTCTTCAGAAACTTATCAAGAAGATATAAATTTGGACTTGAAATACACGACCGAATAGTAAAATGAAAACATACCTTAAACGGTAGCAAAGTACAGCTTATTAGTCCTGATCGAAATTTTGTATAATTAGTTCACACACACACGAATTATTTATTGTTATAAGTAGCGTACAAGAGATTCATCCACAGATCTGTAAGTTCAGAACCGAAGTTGTAAATAGTATTCAGCATTTCCTATGTGTAATCGCAATCTTTGAGTTAAAAACAAAGAAAGATTGAAGAGAGTCTAAACTGTGAATATATAAGGCTGAAAGACGTCTAACAACTTTTCGATTTCTGGCCAGCTCTGATGCCACCGGTACTAAAGCTAAGTGGAATGATTTTATCCTGAAAGGTGCCAAAGTAATCTCCCTGAGGCCCCAGTTGTTCAAAAGGTGATTAACGCTATCCACTGGATAAATCCTTATCCACGTGATAACGCAACAGGCAACGTGGCTTAGTGGTTAGAGGCCCCGAGTTCAAGTCCAACCTTGACCGCTACATTTGTTTCAAGTGTATTAAGGTTTGACTTTTTTGATACAGAAGACCCTCAGCAGATTTTAAGGCATTACGCTTACAGCTCGTAAGAACAAGTTTGCTTCAGTCCTGAAACTTAGAAGAATTAACAATTGACGTGTTTGATCAAATAAAAGCGTCATACACCGTCAAGTGATTTCCCGCTACTGATTACGGCACAAAACGTGCTTCTTCCAATGGGGAACATTTGCACATTAAAAATTCGAAACTTTCCGACGCCAAAATGGCCTTAAGATCGTTGTTAACATGACTCCCCTTTTAACGTGGAATTCATTCTTCTCTTATCAGTTATAGTAGTCAGAGTTCAAATCCTTTGCCACACTTGTAAAAATAGCCAGCTGGTTCGCCTCCTACAAGTTGAGATTCTCAACCATGTTATCACGTTCTATTTAAATTATTAATTTCGTTAAGCCCCATAAAGGAAATGGACAATTTAAGTGTGAAATTTGATTGATTTAATTTGACGCAAGTGGTTTCAATACTTATCCGTTAAATAGTAATTTATCCTATGAATAGCGCTATCCAACGTTTGAACAACTGGGGCCTTGACGAGAAATATAATTTCAGTAACTTTTGTGGAGGTGAGCCTTTTATTAACGTGCTTACAACCAATGAGCAATACCACGGAAGAGCCATTATATATTCCGAGAAAGAATTTGTAAACGATTTGTACAGAAACTTTAAGTGTATATAGTCTGCATACTTCTATTTTCTAGTTATTTGATAGAGTGTTTTAAATTTTGCTCAGAAAAGCGAAGTTTCTAAGCGTCACATTTTTTTCTTTATTTTCAGCTTGATCATTGTATTTTGCAGAGGTTTTGAACAGGTTTCTATCTTAACGTTTGTATAAAATCTTGCTGCGCTCTTTATACCCTGCTGCTAGCAGAGGTTTCCGGCTTTCCGGTATGATTTTTAGCAATTATGAAGTCGTTCACGAAAACTTCGTGAATATATAAATTGTAACTCCTAGACGAAAGGAACGGTATACCTTAACTAAAGTGGAAATTCACAAAAGAGTAAATAATATTAATATACTACATGTGATCAGAACTCATGGCAAAAGCGTACAAGCGATTTAATCGGTCCAAAGCGTGAAAATCGCGCAAGTTAGTACTATGATAAGCCAAGTCCTTAATTTTTTATAACTTGACATTTTTCATAAAAAGGGAGCTTTCCTCCTTGTTTTTACTTTAACTTAGTGTTTAGGGTATATTTCCGCTTTCATTTTTCAGGTTGTTTTATAGTAAGAAACTGAAATGATTATGTCTGGTAAATGTACAGTTTCAAAGGGCTGATATCCGGGGGGTACTCAACAAAGTTCAGTACGGGGAGGCACCGCCCCGACGTTTAACCCCTCACCCTTTTATATACCATTTTTGGCAGAAAAGGCACTCCTTACGTATACTTCTCAGTTAAAAACGGTACCTTTGTTCACATACTTAGTTGGGAAATTTACATCCCTTTTGATTGCTATAAATGCACTGTCTATAAAATATGAATATATCACTGTCAAAACCAGAACTCTTCTTCGACTTCTTCACAGTCACAAAATGCACCGTTTACCCTTTTGGGCCTTTTCACAGACCCAAATGACATATCTGTTAGTGAATAACTGGAGAAGATAGGAAGAGAAATAACTCCAAACAACAACTATTAAACTGACCAAAGCAAGTCAGTACATTTCCTAGTCTTGTAAATACCAATTTTATCAATTTGTTGCTCATCAGATTAGGTTTGCTTGTTTGTTTGTTCGATTTTAATTTATCTGGAATACGACTTTTTTATTATTAATATTGCATATCCTTTCTTGACACTCATACTTTTTTTTTATTCCAAAAAAAAAATTGAATGGTTGTGAGAACCTTATTTCTTGTTCAAATAGTTATTTTTTGGTTTGTTTTATTACTTTTTTGTTTCTTTTATCAGTACTTTTTTAATTGCAACGGTTATATTTTCCTTTGTATGGGCGGGTTATTTTACATTTTTACCACCTTTTATGCCACCTTACTTTAAAGTTTCTACGAAAAATCGCATTTTAATGGAACTGAACAACATTTAACAGTGTATTTTTAAAACCTTTTTCAAGTAATCCATTTTTAATCTAAATGTAAATAGCGAAAGTTTATAACTGTGAGATAATGTCTAAGAAATAGAGCTTTGTCTGAGCAGTCATTTAAATAAAACCTTCTAAAAAAATCACTCTGATTTTTAAAGTTTATTGTTGGATAATCATGTTGTTTCAAACGCTGAAGTCTGTCTTACGCATCGATGAAGAAAACCCGCTTTTCAAGCTTTTCAGTTTTGTAGCTACTACCGTCATTCGTTAGTGGACGATTGCTTAGTCCCTAAGTTTCATTATTGCAAGCAGCCGATGAATTTCGGGTCACGTGGTTCTAGCGAGTTGCGAGTCTCTCCTGGCCATTCGTCTCGTATACGTCACCGAAATGCATTTACACAAAAACCATTTACGCACACTTGTTTTAAAATTCAAACGACAGTTAACATGGTTTAGTACCCGGAGGGGCATCTGCCCTGGTATCCACAAACTAGAGAAAACCACTTTTGCGCTAAAAAACAACCAAATGTGCCTATAAAATGCCACACGGGGGAGGAAAGACGGCAAACAGCACATTTCAGGATTTTTGATTAATCTCACGGAACGCTTGAAAAGTCGTATCTTCTAACCAATTTGTTATCAAACAGTGAAGTGATCTTCAAATTCTTAATTAGGGGGAGCAAAGATCGGTTGACTTAATGACTGGGCCCGTTGAATGCGGAAGAAACTGTGAGGTTAGGGTCGAAGTCGCTCACGAACTGTCGCACTGCTGACTTAACCAATTAGGGCTATCAGGTCAAAATGGCGCGCGCAAAAAAAATAACGGCTAACGATTAAGTAATGGTTTCGCGTTACCAAGGTTTCGCGCTCGTGTTGTGAAACAAACAATCTTTTTTCCCCGCAAATTTTTCCCCTTCCAATTTAAAAACTTCCCTTTACCGGAAATCCTTCCAAGTTACATGAATCTGACGCTTATTTGGTCTTCTCTTAGCTCCCTATTGTGAATACTTTGGCAATATTTTTTCTTTCTTTAATTTTTTTACTAGGTGTTCCTCATGACGCGAACTTCAACAATGTGAATTCTCTTTGCGAAAAATTAAAACATTTATAGGCATTGATTATATTTGATTCCTCTAGAAAAGGCGTTTACTAACCTTAATCGGGTTAATCTCTCCTCATACTGTCATCAAGTCTTGATTTTTTTCTCTTTTCCTTACGTGATATTTCCCAGGCAAAACTTCGCCGAAGATTTCACTTTGTGAACTCCCTTTATGACGCAAATTAACGTCATTTAGAATATGTAGCGCGCGGTGATGCTTTTTTAAAAGAGTCCTATAAGTAGAGTGGGAAAAGTTTGGTAACTTCAAGCGTCACGGAGGGTTGAAAACAATCCCTTAGTCTATGTACAGTCGAGAGAGCAGCTGTACACAGGCAAACAATCCCGTTCTCTGATTAAGTTTAAACTTCCCATCAATTCAAATCTGTATAAGCCTTTTGACCTAAAACCGTACATCGCGGCCAGTCTTATGTCAGCGCCCTCTCCCACCAAGTTAGCTTGTATGAATTTTATGCATGCTTAGGGCATAGGGGAATCATCCGGAATTGTTCCTATCCTGAAGCAACATTTTCTAGCACCATACCTCTACCAAAGTCTTGAATTTGCCTATATGACCACGTATAGTAATTTTCCCCGGTAATTATAGGGCGCAAAAAAATCCGTGTTTGTAAAAACTAACTCTATGTCAAAAAGTTAACTGTCAATTCCAGAATGATTTGCTGATGATAATGCTCATAGGTGATCAGATCAATTCGACTGCAGTTTATAATAAATAAGCACGAGTAAATTTGAAAGAAAAAATATGCGGGTACTTTAATAATGTAGTAATAATGACAAAAACGATCAATATAATAATGTGAATAAATAATAATAATAATGATAATAATTTACATGTGACAACCAGTGCCCCATTACTTGCATGTACAAATGGTTCACGTCTTGCCTATTTGCCCCTACAAACCAGCATCTAGACGAATGTAACTTGATGGAGGGTGCGCAGCGGGGTGATCACGCAGGATGTAGTGGTACAGTGGACAAAAGGGCCATTTATACGAGAAAAAATAAGACGCGAACTGAACCATTTCTACGAGTATGTCTTATCTAAGACAATAACAGCTCGTATAAATGGTTCGCGTCTTATTTTTGTTCTTGACTCGTTTTCATGTGAATGAACTGAACTTACTTTTTAAGTGTAAGTTTATAATACGAAGATAGCAGTTTTGATTAGTAAATATGAGTTGTGATAGTTTAAAGATAAAAGGGTCTACTTACTCAGCAGACGTCACGCATTTGTCCAGGAGGTTTGCTATCGACTTCTCCTTAAATAATAACCAGAAATCCTTTTCCTTCGCGATGGACCAAGTGTTTCTTTTTGCTTTTAATGGCGAGCTCGAGGCGAGCTCATTGTAATTGAGCGAAGAAAAAAATAAAGCAAAATAGACAAGAAAACGGAAACGCGTTGCATTTGTAAACGACTTTTCCTCGCCAGTAGTCTGCCAGTCCAGCGCGGGGCAAGCGATAATTTCCCGCCAAAATTAACGCATGCGTACTGTGCGTTCGCGTCTTATGTAAGACGCGAAGGTCATTTATTCGAAGTTTTTTTCTTCTTAGCTAAGACGTACCCGCGACGCGTCTTATCTAAGAACAGGTGTTGAGGGCTGTTCTAAAATAAGACGCGTCTTATTTTAGACAAAATGTGCCGCATATACGGAAAGTTCGCGTCTTATTTTTCTCGTATAAATGGCCCTAATCAGTTGATTGATCGGACGGTGACTTTAGATTGTCACAGGGAAAGGCGCAATCTAAGTAGGGCATGGATTGATGTTAAGAAAGCGTATAATTCAGTGGGTCATGGCTGGTTAAATGGGGTAATATTGTTGCACAGGTCTCCGGTCTGGTTGTGTTGGGTCACCGCCAAGCTTTGTAGAAGCTGGAACACGAGAGTGTTGGTTGTCACAAGGAAAGGGAAGGAAACCTCCCAACCGATCAAGATTCAGCAAAGGTGTTCATGAAAAAGTTGGCTTATCATTTTCATACCGAAAAGGAACACATTCGAATTCAATGTTTTTCTCAGGGCTTTTGTCATTTAAACCTCTGTGGGATTACCAATTAATTTAAATATGCGCACAAAAAATGAATTATGGATTCTGGTGGTGAAGTAAAACGTCAGGGGTAATATGACACCATCGTTCAAATGGCCAATTCACATTGATTTCTATCCTAGCGCGTTCAGTCAAAACAACGGGGTTTGAAACTGTTTTTAAAAAGTTGAGAAGTAACAAAAAGCGGCCCAACAGTCAACGAATTGTTCAAACATGTCTAAATCACTTTCATGGAAGGAAATGTTATCGCCGTTTGCACGGCCGGCGATTTACCTGGCAGGCGACAGCCGAATGAGGTGAAATCTTCTCTTTTCCGATACTTGTCAAAATTTCCTCCACTTCAGCACCCTTCTAGACAAACTCTTTTTGGCCTTTTCAGCCCTGCAGATTAAAAACGGCTATACATATAGCTAGCTGATGAATAAACACACTGTTCAAAAGCTAGAATCATCACTTCATGAGGCTTTGACAGCTCCGTCAGACTCTAAATCTTTCGAGAATTATTAAAAAGCCATGCCAGCGGGCTCCGACACTACTTATCCATATTACCTTCTAGTTCCTCTTATAGACATCACTTTTGCCAAACCGTCAACCAAAAACGTATGTTTTTACGGTGTTCTCAACCTTTGAACTATTTTCAGGTGCTGTTTTGCGGTATGTAGCGCTCGCGAAAGAAACAATAGAAACTCTACGCAAAGCCGATACAAATTTTGCGCTACGGAGGTCAAATATGATTGGCTCTCGTTGAGTTTCTCTGTTTATTAACCAATCAATACTTTGTCTTTGTTTCTGTGTCATGTTTTCTTTATATAAGGGACGGACCATTAGAAAACTTATGGGGGGGGCGGGCGAAGTACAAAAAAAAAATTCGCGCAAGGGAAAATTAAATGAAAAAAAATTCTTGCACGCCAATAAACCCTAAGAAATATTCAAGCAAGGGCCTGAAAAAAATTCATACAAGGAATTTGATAACAAAAAAAAATTCCTGCAGCTCGAAAATTCCCCTCCCCCCCCATAACTTTTCTAATGGTCCGTCCCTAAGAAATCTGAGCCAATTTCCCATGATCTTTGTTCTGGACTTGCGTGACCAAATATTACTTTTAACCCGGGGGGTACTCCCATACATTACCTATACGGGTATGTGCTTTGGTATGTGCCGCCCAACGGGGTCGTGATTTTGAAGCTGCTGATTTAGAACGGGGTATCCATTTCAGAGGCGTTTTCTAGAACGGGGTATAAAAAATTGTGGATCACTTCTTTATCCTCTGCTTAAAATTGTTGCTGATTATGAAGAAGCATTTATTTGATGTATAAGTCGAACAAATAAAGAAATATCTTTTTAAAAAAACAGGGCTATTTCAATTTTCAAACTTTCTAGAACGGAGTATAAAAAATTGACCCATTTCTAGAACGGGGTATCAATTTTAGAGGAATTTTTTTTTTAGAACGGGGTGCCAATTTGGAGTCCCGGGCGGCACATACCCACCCCAAAAATACCCAAGTGCCCCCCCTTCCGGGACCTGAAAGTAGTTTTGATTTTAAAATATATAGATTTAGAGATATAGGGCTAAAAGCGAAGCTTTCGAAGCTCTCTATTGTTTACTCAAAATGAAAAGCAACCAATCACTATACAATAGATTCCCGCGCAATTGCTGTCATTTGCTTCTTCAAATCAGCTTCCGCCTTGTTCGAGTGTCTCTGTTGCAGTGGAGGAAGATTATTTTATTTTTTTCTCAAGAGAAGGAGAGCGAAGCAGAGTAGAAAGACGAGTGGAAAAAAAAGCAGGTTACAGCGAAGAGATTGGCACAAATGTTTCAGTGGAGTAAGTCATTCCGCAGATTGTTGTAATGGAGCTGATGTTTTTGCGGAGAATACATGTGACAACTAAGGAAGAACTTGAAAGGCTGATGATGCGGGAACTCCAACGTCAACTATTTTGACTACTTTCCAGTTTGATGTGACGGGCACGGGGTCCGCGGGTATACTCGTGGCTTGGAAAATATCGGTTCAATTACAGTAATCTGCGGTATGACTTACTCCAAACATTTGTCATGATTTGTGCCAGTCTCTCCGCTGTCACCTGCATTTTTTCACTTGTCTTTCTACTCTTCGTTCTCCTTCTCCTGAGCCGTGAAAAATAACGTAATCTTCCTCCATTGCAACAGAAACATGAACTTTTAAGTGACGTCTAGGTCTAGCATCTCTGCATTAGAGATCCGGCAAAAAGGAACCAATCGGTTTCATTTAAGCGTTGAATGGACCTTAAGCCTCGGTGCCAGAGGTTTTTTTTTTCGGGGAAGTGAGAAAAAGCTTTTTCTTGCTTTTTCTCTCTTCCCCGAAAAAAAAACCTCTGACACCCTGGATAAGTGGACCTCTGCATTCAAAGGTTTCATGTACGAGGATACTGCTATTTAATGTTTGTTCAATTCTGTCAGTAAAGTCATTACCAGTCTGCTTTAGTGCTTTTGCTCAGACACAAAATGTTCCTGTAGAGTTATAAAGACGATAACAAACAATTTCATTATGGAGCACTAATCACTTGAAAAAGTTGGTCCAGCTTTTTCAATAGCATATCCATCCTTGCTATCCTTTGCAACAGACGCCAGGGAACAGTTTCCACAAATCGCGTGACAACAATGACAGTAACAATGACAGTCCCTCGTTCCCCTCTCGTTCCCGCCCTTTGCCTTTACCGTAGTAGCCTGGATCGAGGCCTGTCACCATCCCGGCATCAACATGGCCGCGAATAGATCAACAGAATTCGTAAAGTTGTGCGCTCTTTTTGCATTTATTTTCGCAATAACTGAAACTAAAACTGTCGATGTCGAAAAAGAAAAGGAAAGGGCAGCTGCCGAGAAAGAAAACAAGTACCATGCCATCGACACAGCTTTCTTGTTAGCCATGATGTTCTTATTGATCATAACTGTTCTGACCGTATGGCTTTTCAAAGTCAAACGTTTCCGCTTTCTCCATGAAACAGGAGTGTGCATGATTTATGGTGAGTTAAATGTTTTTTTCTCTTATTTTACTGCAGTAGAAGCTTAGCTTTCCCCTCCTATCAGGGTGTTTACTTGTTGTGCAACGTACATGTAATTGTTTAAGCTTTTAAACATCTTGTAACCTGGTTTATGCAGCACGGCCAGCTGTCATACACTTTCGAAACAAATCATTTTGGACTTACAGATAAGCTAATTCACAGGAAACTGCACTTAAAATTTCATCGGCGGACAAATAAATATATATATATCATATGGCTTATTTATGTAGTTGTTATTATGGAGCCAGTTCTACAGGAAAAAATAGTAGTTTCACTTTTTATGTTCTTTGGGTCAATACATGTAAGATGAGCCATCTCAATAGTTAGAACGACATTATACAGGATGATAAAGAGCCCTACAGAAAAGCACTGGGCTTAACTACAGAATACAGGGCAAATTTTCTAGATATATTCGTTGGGGTGGCTCGGTGGCTCGGTAGTCCCGACTGACGAGCCACCGAGCCTTCGAGCCACTAAATTATATAACCTCGACTGACGAGCCACCGACCGCCGAGCCGCCAAGCCACTAAAATATATACCTATAATTTGCTATAATACGTACTAAAATATGTGCCTATTATGTCTGTCTTATACTTATATGTCCCACATCTTTCTCGTTCTTTAAACACTTGTCATGACTAGCGAGCCACCGAGCCACTTCTGTTTAAGACCTTAAAATATGGCCCTGTATTCTGTAGTTGCTCCAAGCACTGCTCAAGCTTTAATTTAATGGTCACACTTCAGTGGTGGATCCAGACCTTCAGATAATCGGGGTGGTCATCCAGACTAAGGGGGGCAGTCTCAAAAGAATTTTTTTGCCCCATTGGGCCCGGCTCAGTTTGGTCTAAAAATAAGGGGGGACCCAGGCCCCCCTGGCCCCTCCCCTGGATCTGCCACTGCACTTTTGGATGTCATCCCTGGATTTAAATTTTACTCCACCATGGTGTGGGTGGGGGGTGGATGGAACCCCTCCCTGGAGTTTCTGATATGTTGCAGTATTTTGAAGCGATTTTACCTTTAGTGGAAAGCCATTGATCTTCTTAACAAGATGAGGAAAATTTTATGGGTGGTGGTGCTGCTAGAGGCCTGTGACATCTGTTCTACCCTGAGAGTATATATTTACATGTACAAGTCCATACAGCAGCTAGTACCACAAGATAGTCTTACTCTGCTGCTGTCATGTAGGTGACTTATCATAAATTATTAGGGAGCTTAAGCAACAACGACAGTGATGGCTTCAAAAGCCTCACTTAAAAAGTGAATTCTAAAGGACTATAACCAAGTTCAGGAAAAGGAAAAGAAAATGGTTATCTTGTGTTCATGCCCTCCACTAAACATGAAAATAGGCATTTTCACGTTGTAGTCATGCAGTGACAACAAGGAAATGTACAAAAAAGCATGACACATGTGCAAAGTTGTTTTTTTTCGAATCTAAACCTGTTGTTTCTTTGCTGCTCTCATTGTTGTCGCCATTCTCATTGCTTAACTCCTCATTGTGTGGTTGTGTAGGTAACATGGCATTTCCTGATGTACATGTTGGTCTCTAGACTTATCTACCAACTAAATATTTTTATAGCTTGTTAGATTTTTCGTTGTACTCCATCCCTGAATTTATAACATTTCCCTCTTATCAGGCATGATAATTGGTCTCCTTATAAAGTACATTGGAGGAGAAAGCCGTGTTCCTGTTGCTCAACCCAACTGTACGATCCCTAGCACTACAAAGAAGCTGTATATCAGGACAGTGAATGGAAGCCAGTATTCCTATTCTTTATCTGGACCTGTGCAACAGGATAACTCCACAGATCAAGGGAGTGAGCTGGAACAAAAGGCAAGTGATGTTGACTTTCATAGATTTTCTTGAGTTGTTTGAACTGTACAGACTATCTAAAAACAATGCAGATGTGCAGTTGACTCCCGATAATTCGAACCTTCGTGGGAAATAGAAAACAGCTTGAGTTATTGGGAGGTCGAGTTATTGAGGGTAAAATTACACAGAAAACAATCTAAAGGGAAATGAAAAGCTTCAAGTTAACAGGAGGTTTGATTTATAGAGGGCTCAAGTCACCGAGAGTGGACTGTATGTTAACAAGGTATGTTAACAAGGTCAAGGCTTCGAGATAACAGGAGGTTCGAGTTATATAGGGTTCAAGTCACCGAGAGTGGACTGTATGTTAACAAGGTTTTAGCCAGAAGTGTGTCCAGGCTTACTGTGGAGTCCAATGTTTAGAGGTATTTTGAAAATAGATTCATTCATAGCCATCCCCAAGACTTCAGGAAATAAAATAAAATAATGAAGAAATCATCTTGAGACTGAACAGTGAATAATGCACTTCTTTTGTTTTATTCCCACAAACCTCAGAGCCAAGTGTGAGTAATTTAAAAGAGAAATATATGCAATCTGCCTAGCTATTCCCTCAATCTCCTACAATTACCTTTATTTGAGAAAACATGCCTCCTGGACTCCTCATTTTCAATGTATAGCTAAAAGCTTGCTCCAGCTTTAATATCATAGCCAGTTTGTTTGGTCTGTACACACCTGTAGACTGCCTCTTGACGCTAATTATGGCATACATGTACAAGTATGTAGCTCCCTTCGTAAAAGTGTGTAACCTTGCGTGATATGTGTACATGTACAATCAAAGTCCCCACTATTATTAATGTCTTGCATTTAGGTGAGTGCCAAAATGCTCCTTTCTCTGTAGTGTGACTGTCCTTTGATTAAAGAGAATTTTTAATGTTACTGATAATTATTAAAAAAGTCCATACCTATAACTTATGATTTACAAACTTTTCACATGTTCTGTTATCATCCTTGACTGGCATGGGTTTCAATAAAAATTGATTCAGAAGTAGCTAGCAGGTGTGAAGAGAGTAACCGACCGTATCACCAAGTGGCTGTAGTTCCCTTTTTCTAGGGGGGTCTGGGGGTGTGCTTTCCCAGAAAATTTTGAAATTTCAAAGCCTTAAAAAGCAATTTTCAGTGTTCTGGGGACTAAATTGAGGACAAGAGAGCACGTTTTCCATTAATTAAAGAAAATGTAGCTTTCATCCCACTTTCAATTAATTTTGTCGGTCACATAATCAGTTCCTACCTGCAATGAACAAAATATGATGAAAACTACGTACATTTGCACGTAAACAAATTCTGCGTAAACCTGTATTTGTAAATTATATATTTTCATTCAGATTTTATTATACATTTGTTGTTTTCAACATTATTCAAACTAGTGCTTCTTCTTTCTAGAAAAAAGTAGCCGACTTCTATGAGCAAAGTAGCCAACGCCTTTCGTCGGCCGTCAGTGCTTATTGAAACCCCTGACAGGGTAAATACTAATACAATTCAACAAAAGAAATTTCACATTTTTCATTTTGGTTCTTATTGTAGGCTGTGTTTGATCCTGAGATATTTTTCTATGTGCTGCTACCTCCTATAATCTTTTATGCTGGATATGACATGAAAAAGGTATTTGAAAAAAAAGATGCTGTAAATAATTATATTAAAATATTGTTGTCTTTGAGTCAAATAAACATCATTTAAAAAACTTGGCAACCAAGAAAAAATAATGGAATAATATAACAATAAGAACCTACATGACATCTACAGTTCTTTACTGTTTCAGCGATTCTTCTTCAGAAACATTGGCGCAATTTTAACATATGCTTTCGTTGGTACCACTGTGTCGTGTGTAGTCTTTGGGTAAGTTTGTAATTGGTGACATTTTACTAAAAATCAATCATAGAATCGGCCAAATCGAGGCTGAGTGCAAAGTCTCTGATACGAAAATAAAAATTAGTTGTCTTGCAAGTGAAACTTATTTCCATGTAAAAGAATTTGCACTTGGCCTTATTTTGAAAGTGACAGTTTTGGAAACTCAAGGGAATAGGGCTTTATTACAGTGTTTGATAAAACTGATAACTAGAGTAATCTCTTGGAATATTATGTAAGGGTACCCAACCTTGACATGTATGTGACTTTCAGTTCACCCTAAGAGCGTTTTGTTAAGAATTTTTTCTGCCCTTGTTATTTATTCTGGAGCACAATTCATTGAGTTCCTTTTGATTGCCTACTCATACAATGCTGAAAAACATTATTCTAGGGCATCACATTATCTCAGTAGTGTCTTAATAACTAGGTGCAACTGCATGTGTTATGGTTGAAGCAAACAATTTCATTGCTTGTTTTGAATTTGAATTTCCCTTGTTTATGGTTGTGATGTATGCTAATGAATTTAAAACAAGAGAAAAATAAAATTTAAACCAAGGATTTTAAACATGAACCACAACTCATCACCTTAAAGGGGATTTTATGATTGATGAAGTTGCCAAATTGGGTTAGAAATTAATAGCAAACATTAAACATGGTTTGGTCATGATGGTGGTGTGCTGCATTTGTTGTTGCCACTTTTTTTTTTATACCATTTCTTGAGGGAGCGCGGGAGTCACTTTTAGAGTACATTACATGGCAATTCACGAATTTCCTAGTGGGACGGGAGAATTTTTAAAATAAACACTAGCTCTGAATTTTCAATCATCATTAATGAATCAATGGAAAGAAAACAAGGCAAACTCTGAACGTTAATTTTGATTTATTGTTTTAATACCAAAGCAAAACGAAGTCATCTTTCATGGTAGTAACCAAAAACTAAGGGATTGTTCTCTTTTGTTTGTCTAGATCTACCATGTATGCCTACACTAAGTTTGCTACAGTAGACAAAGATTTTGATTTCTTGGAATGCCTTCTGTTTGGAGCTTTGATATCAGCAACAGATCCAGGTATGTCAAGTTTCAAAATGGTTATGAGCAATGTAATAGTACGTTCATTCATAGTTTAGATAGATGCAATTGGCCTTTTATCTAATTCGTATAGCAAGATCCATTTCATATGTCTTGATTACAGGTGTGAAAGAGCATTGACTAATATTGGGTACTAGAGTGTTTGGTATTTTGCTTTCCCTTAATATTGTGCTTATAGTCACTTTAGTGACTCTTTTTTTATGATTTTTATTTAACCTCTATCTGGACAAGAATGTACTTTCCAAAAAACTAAACTGGTTAATATCTTCTTCTTGTAGAATGTAAAATGAAGACCATATGCAATTCTAGCTGCATGTATTCTACACTTTTTGATCAAAGCAGAATACATACAATGTAAATGGTAATGGTACCAATGATCTACTGTATCATGTGACCATTTTTCCATTTTTGTTTATAGTCACAGTACTGGCTATTTTCCATGATCTCCATGTTGATGTGGATCTGTATGCTCTAGTATTTGGTGAAAGTGTCATGAATGATGCTGTGGCTATTGTTCTATTCAGGTAGGAAGCACTTCCAGTGACTGTTCATCCCTGATCACAACTAGTGATGGGGTCAAATAAAGTGGTAATCTTTACTTGAAAATGGGTGTGATTGAAGAACAGGTTCTCCGACAATCTGTCAGCTCTCTGTTGGTAGACTGTTGACTAACAGTAGGCTGACAGATGAGCAACAGTTGGCTGACGAACGGCTAACATGTACAAACGGCCAACAGTCAGCCAATACATACAAATGGTCAACAGTCGAGCTGTTGGTGGTCTGTGGGTGAACTGCTGGTTGACAGTCTACCAACAGAAGGCTGACAGATTTTGGGGGGAGCTATTTTTCAATTTTACCAGGGAAGGTTTAATACACTGCTTGTAATGGGTAATTTCCATGGTTTAGGAATCCACAGGTAAATGCCGTAAAAAACGTTTTACATTGAGTTGAAATACTCAGTGGGCTCTATTACTTTTTCAGATCTGTAGAGACATACCTTCTTGACAAAACAGGAAGTGGGTTTCAAGTTGATCGATTTTTTGAATCCGTGGGTGTCTTCATTGGTGTTTTCTCAGGATCATTCTTTCTTGGCTTTGCTATGGGACTTGTAACTGCTCTTGTATCCTTTTTAACCTAACTTCACCTGTCAAGCAGTGATTGGTAAAGTCATACTTTAATAATAGCCTTGTTTACTTGAAATAGTGCCATCCACATAGACATTAAGGTCAGCAAATCAAAATATTCTTTTTAGTTGCGCTGTACAGAATAAAAAAAACCATGCACTCAACTGACCTGTTCTGAGACTTTCATTACTTACAGAAGTACTATAGAATGTAGTAGTTTATAAGAAAAAAATATTTACAGAAGTTTGGCTTTGGTTACAGTCAAACCCTTGCTATAATTAATGAACATTGCCTATAGGCAGACGTCTTACATATCTGAGTAGACACTGCATCAGTCTGCAACATAAGCCCTATGAGCGATCCACATCAAATTTCTTCTTGTAATTTCTTTACTTTACCTACCAGAGTGGTCACAATAATAATTATTAAAGACATTCCACTTAATTGATACTTTGAAACAATTAATTTCTCCCCACTGAGAATTTAAATTTGGATATTAGGATTAAAAGGGTTAATTAGATGCCTCACCTGATGGCATTCTTTTTCCTAAAGGAATCTGCTTATGAGAGGTTTGACTGTTAGTAATATAATTTTTCCACAGAACTTTGTCATTTTCTTTTATTGCCATCCTTGACTCCATTTATTGTACAGGTGACAAAACTCACAAAAATCTCAGACTTTCCATTGCTTGAAACAGCCTTGTTTTTCTTGCTGTCCTGGACAACTTTCTTGATGGCAGAGGCTGCAAATCTTACTGGTACTGATTATTATTTTCATGCACATCAGCATTTTATCAGTTATTCTCTAAAGGAGCAAAAGTTTAGTTTTTGACGATTACATTTTTTCTCTCTGCAGGGATTGTTGCAGTTCTGTTTTGTGGTATATCTCAAGCACATTATACCTACAACAACTTATCAGAAGAATCTAAGATTAACACTAAACAGGTAATGGAATAACTAGTGCCAGCTACATGCAGTGTTTTCTATTAAATTAATTATTAATTATTAAACTGTAAAAGTCTATCACCCATGAGGAAAAGAGCCAACATTTTTAATTTAGTTAGTAATTTAAGTAGATTAGCTTAAAAAAGTAACATTGTTAAAAAGGCTTACACTTACCTTGATAGTTTCGATAATTTACAATAATAATAATAAATTACTATAGCAAAAGGCCTAACTTCATTATATACAATAAGTAAACAACTTTGATGATAATTAATATTAAAAAAGCAAAATGAATAACTAAAAAAAATTATCACTTCTGTGAGATTGAGTTCATTTTGTTCTATTAGCATTTTTTTCAAATAACCTTTGCTACTATTACTATTAGGGAGCTTAAGCAACAACGACTGCGACGACTATGAAAACGTCGCTTAAAAAGTGAATTCATGCTACTTCAAACTTAATTGCACTTATTTCAACTCGTTCAATTCATCAAATTTTTCTGGAGTTAAATTCTATAAAAAGACTGTATCAAAGTTGAAGAAAAGAAAAATAAAGTCATTGTCTTATGTTCATGTTCTCGACAAAACATGAATTTAGGCACTTTCACATTGTGGTGGTGCAGCAGCAGCAAAGAAATGTACAAAAAAAGCATGATGCACGTGCAAAGTTGTTGTTTTGCCAATCTAAAAACATTTTTTTTTTCCCGTTCTCGTTCTCGTTGCCGTTGCCGTTACCATCGTCGTTGCTTAAGCTCCCTATTATTTTACTAAATACTTTCTTTTGCAGACTTTTGCATTGTTGAACTTTTTGGCAGAAAGCTTCATTTTTTCATACATGGGGCTGTCACTTTTCACTTTTGAAAATCATCAGTGGAATATTGGTTTTATTTCATGGACATTTGTATCCTTAAGCTTGGTAGAAATCACTTTTAATAATATTTTTCATAATGATAATACATATAGAGAGGATATTACATGGCTGCGTGGAGATACGGTGATATTTTCACTTGTTCGAGCGAAAGCTCACCTGGTGTTTCATTGGTGTTTATTAATATAATAAAACAGTTTCAGCATTATTACTGTATTGAAGATGTGACATAAATTCAATTTGCTTGTTTGTTCAGTTGCCTCATTGTAGATCACAATGGTAGATGTATTCTCAGTCCAATTTGAGTCTTTCTCTTGGCAGCTAAACTAGAGGGCCAGTTTTGGGAGAGATCTCTCCCTAAAATTAAATTATTATGGTAATCATATGGTCTACATTGGGGAAACAAAATTAACAACAAACAAATAAGGTCCACTGAAGCAAAACTCTCTGAATACGTTCAATTTAATGATTAATTTCCAATGCCCAGCATTTCCAGATCTAAACAGTTTCTGTAATAAACATTTGTATACAAAGCTATTGTCTCAGTTCAGAGCTGTACATAGCTACAGCACTAGAAACACAAGAACAGGCAAACAAAACTGCTTAAAACTACTGTACACATACATTTTATCCTCGTTGGTCTGTTTTGCATTCATCTTTAGCTATCTTTTGGTCACATGTTGACATTTATTTGTTATATTGAGGTAATTCTATTCCATACAGTGTACATTTTATTGTAATTTTTCTGCGCTGAAGAAAATCATTTGTTATACCAAGGAGAGCTGGTTGTTTATGAGATGTCTGTTGATCGTCAACCCCACACTATTCAGGCCTAATGGATAGAGTTTTTAATGCCTGTATCCAGAATACTTCCAGCTTCTGTAGTATTATTTATTGTTTCAGGGGAGTAGGTTATAGAACCCAAGAATATAACCAGTTTTGCAATGAGTAACAACACTTAAATAGCGCAAAATTTGAAAAACTATTATGTATTTGGTATCATCTGATTAGTTGCTTGATTATTATTATTTACATCATTATTTTAATAATTAGTATTTATTTATCATCAGCTACTCTTTTGTTTGTAATGAGCTGAGGTAGTTACATTCCTTAACCAAGTTATCTCTGTAGCTTGCCATGACATTAGGAAGACTTTGTAATATTTATCCATTGTCATTTTTACTCAATTTGGGGCGACACAGGAAAATTAGCTTTAAGTTCCAGCACATGATGGTCTTTGCAGGTAAGTGGACCAAATTGTGAAAAATGTTTCTCATTATTTGTACAAGAGTTAAACCCCCTTTTTACACCCTTGTTTTAGGGTTACGGGGTGCTGTAGCGTTTGCTTTGGCAATGCGGAACACAGAATCAGTTCCTCGTCAAATGATGTTGACAGCTGTGCTAATTGTTGTCTTAGTAACAGTAATAATAAATGGTGGTGCTACAATGTCTGTCCTCTCATTTCTCAAAATAAGGTAAGAAATCTCTGAATATTTTAATTAATGTTTTCACTCCTAGACCACATTAAGATTATCATTTTGTCATTGTTCACTAACTTTTAAATCCATGGATGAAATCCTATGATGTTACCATTGGGACATTCCATTTTTTATCCCCCACCCCCCATTTATCAAAGGCATAATTTAATAATATCCAGAAAGAGCCCTGTCGGAATCTGATATTTTGACTATTATATTTGAAGTACAATAAAGGGTTTCGGAATTATCATTTTACCCACGAGGGCCTGTCGGAACAACACTATGTTGGTCTAAGAATCTGATGTGTCTATGTTAAGTGAGTAATTTATAATGACTAGCTACATGGTTTAGGAAAGATGACCCTAGTAAAAATAAGAAAATGTCCCTAAAAGTATGTTGGGGACACCATTGGCTGTAACTTTTTCTTGATGTCACTGCTAAAAATGTGATGTCTTTTGTTTTGTTTCAGAGTTGGAGTTGATCCAGAAGAAGAGGACAGGAAATCAGCTTATGTCTCGGTCAGCATTGTAGGTTTTGTTTTTAGAAACGTGGAAGGTATTTTTTTTCCAGGAATTTTCTGTGGATCTCAAAGAGCCATTTATGTGTAAAGTCCAGTCCACTCAGGAAATTCCTGTTAGTACCACTCATCTGGCAATTAACAGAAGACACTACATATCGCATGCAATATTCGACATTACAGAAAATCCATATTGAGTGCCACATCACATGACACATCATGAGTTGTGACATTTTCACAATAATAATAATATTATAAGGTGTCACATCTGAGAGCTGCCTGTTACATGAGATGCCTGCAATATTACTGTTCGCGGTAATGTTATATTATTTTCTTGAAGCACTCACCAGAATGATGACTATTTGTAACCCTGTATGGATACAGTCTTCTGTGCACATGCATATGAATTAAATTAATTTAAAATACTGCATACTTGAGGTCTGTTGGTTTAGAAGTTACTTAGTCTAATTGGATTTGCAGAGGGAGGGGGACTGGATGGTTAGGCACTGAACATTATCTCTCGGTTTTGGGAATTATTTTGCAAATTAAGGAAATAATATAACTATAATGATTTGTACTTTCCAGTTTAAAACTCTCAGTATTACAACCAATCACCTTTGCTGTGTAGCACTTCAGAGCAAAGCAATATCTTAAGGGATTTCTATTTTTAAATTAAAATTCTTGTAGGATGACAATGACTCTCTCAGATCGAGACAGGCCCATTATGAAAGAGCATGGATTTTTAGAAAGTGGTACGACTTTGATGTCAAATATCCTTTTATTCCACTTCAACACTGATTTTGATTTTTACAAATCATAATTGATGCTCTTACAACCCTTATTATATGGCCCAACCTCAATCACCAGAGTGTAAACCAACCTTGGCAAGGTGGAGCAATGTGACTTTTAACTGTATCATGTACATGTTTGAATAAGCTTACTCTCCTTGACAATTCTCACATATATGAAACCTATTTTTACCAACTATGGCCAGTCACTGACTGAAACGTTACCAGGCTGTTGTGGTCCCCTTGCAAGACGTCTGTCACCTAAACCACAACCGAAGGTAATAAAATTATTAAAACAATTATTTGTGACAGTATAAACTTGGTTAAAATCATTAAAGAAGAAGACTATATAAATTTTTCCACAAACAATGTCTGTTGTTCATTGCATTTACATTGATCTATTTGTGACTTTTTGTCTTGCCTTTATACATTAATAATAGTAGAATTACTATGTCGACCAATTTGGTCAGTGCTTGGACTTGGTGACAGTGCCTGCTGTTTTTATGAAAGATCAGCCCACAAGTGGACAATGTTCCAGCTGTCTTCGAAAGGTGTTTCAATGCCTCAGAGAACGCGAAATTACACAGATTTCCAAAAAAGTAAACTTTAAAGAAAACTTTTGTTAAGATGATGTTCTTCCTTGGTGACCTGGATAAGTCCATGTTATCATTATGGAATTCTGGGGGCCGAATTGCAGATGTCTCTGTCACAAACATCCCTAATGGGGAGGAGCAATGGGATACTTGCAGGCCACAGTTTTACTTTATTTTTGACCATTGTTTTTTTAACCAAGTTTGTCCTATTTGACTTATTTCAGGAGGAGCCTGTAAAAGCAGACAGTGATGAGGACATGATAAATGTAAATGGCGAGCTGTCATTCACAGGTGGTGTCATGGTCAGGCCAACCAGTGGCAGCATGATTAGTAATGAGCCAAGTGATATCATGAGAGAAGGAGACCTAGGACTGGGTGCTGTTGGTGGTGCACAAGCGTGAATCCATCAATTTCAGTTAGTCAATACCAAGTTTTTAATAGCCTAGAAATATATTAATATTCATTTACATGTACTTTAGGTTATCTTGATCATAATTCCTGTCTGGGTGTGTCTGAAGGTTCACCTGGTACACAGGTAAAAAGAAGTCCAAAGAAAAAAGACTTGATAATGGCCAATGCCCTCTCCTTACACTTTTAATATTAATGTAGTTCACGTTGTATAGTAGAAAAATATGTTATATTAATATGATGAATACTTATGAAGGATTGTAGCAATACAGTCAGGGTCCTTTATAGCAGACAATGTAGAGAGCTTGAGTTAGTGACCTTATTGGTAAGCGTCCTTTATGGCAGGAGTCTATTTCAGTCAAATGTCTGTAATTTAGTTTTGCCTTGGAATTTAGCTGCTGCCCGTATTATCAGGGTGTCCACAAGGCAAGAGTAATCATAAAAGGTTTGAAATATTGTCAGTAGTAAAACATTGTGAAAAATGATAATGGAATCTTTTGCTAAGGTTGGCCATACAATCATGGTTTGTTGTATTATAGAGTCATTTTTGTTGTACATTCATAAACAGTCATTATTTAGATCACATATTATTTTTGACAAGTTGAAAAATAATTAATAATAATTATTACGACATTATTAAGTTCTAGAGTAACTGAAAATATTGTTGAGTCTTGACAAAAAGATAATCATCTTTCTAAGCACAGCAGCGTAGATACAAAACGTTTGGTCCAAGTGTTGGCATTGCCCAAGCAGACAGAGTGTAGGTTTCTTGTTACTGTATTGTAACTTTATGATTTGTGTACTTTCAAGAAACATCTTTTTATAGTATCCTTTTTCAAGTACACTGCATGTGCATGTACCTTAAAAAAACATTAATTTAAAAGAGAAGGTAAGATGGTTTTTGTGCATTGAAGAAAAATGAATTGAATCTTTCTGAGGAGCCATAATTTAGTTCTTAATCTGAGAAAATAAATCTAAAATTCACACAATGATGATATACTGTAATAATATTTGACACTTAAAATTACAATTATATTGTAGATCTGAAAAAAAATTAATATACTATACAGTGTAAGTAAAAAATTAAAACAATGACAATGCAACAAAGTACTGGAATAGAACTAAAATGTATTAATTTTTTAATGTATGTTTTATTATCACTGTAGTTGTATGTTATAACTTTCCACATTTCTGGTGGTATTTGTGCAATGTCATTAAAACAAACAGTGGCACCTATTGTGACCAAGATTTTCAATTCTGTCATTTGAGTATATTGTTTTGTACAACTTTTATGCAATGTATTGCCATTGATACTTTATACAAGTGCTTAGAAAATTAAATCTGTAGTAAATAAATTGACAGAAGTTTTTATTCAAGCTGGAATAAAAGTAATTCTAACAAATCAAAATTGCTTGTTTAAAAAAAAAAACAAACATAAAAGTGGGGTAATTTTCAGAGTCCCTGGCCCCCTGCCATCTTCAAAAATGTAATGTAAAGCTCGTGATGTCATAGCTTAACGAGCAAAGAATAAAAAAAAAAGTGCCCTGGTGTTTATTCCAGGGAGCCCTTCTAGCCTGTCAATATTGGTCAAGAATTGAATGGCTATACAGTAGGAAGTTCTGTTAGTTTTATTTTCCTTTGTTTCCTGTGAAAAAAGCCAGGGTTTATGCTCATAGAAGATGGGGAAAATCCCAGGCTTTATAGGTGACACCCCTGATTCATTCCCTACAGTGAGTCAACTATGTTGTAGCCCCCCCCGCATTTTTGAGGTCTTAAAATCAATAACGTTCAGTATCTGCAGTGACTCTGCACACACACGCTTGTTATAAAGGTAACATTTAAAGATAACTGCAGCCTGGACTTTTAAAATGTGGTTGAATGCACTTTAACCCATTTGCTCCTAGAGATTTTGCCGAAAAACGCTTTTTGAAGCTAGTAGAGTGATTTCCTGGTCACTGTCGTGCTATAAAGAGCTAAAACTTACCACAAACCAGTTTACAGGTCATACACTTCGTGGCCTTCTGATCCAGATGCAAAATATCAGCTTGCGAAGTTCGGGCATGCGCAGAAGGCAAAATTTGTGACACAGCAGTCTTGACTTTTACTTTTCACTTTCTCTCCTCCCCTCTTTTTTCGCTTTTCTTGCCTCATTTTTTTTTTCTCTTGCTGGGCATTTAGTAGGCTTCATTTTGGTGGGAATAGTTTTTAGGAACTCGTTTAGGATCTTAGGATTAGGTGAAAGGAAAGGTAGGTGGGTAATGGAAAAAGACTTTCATGCAGATTTTCAGGTCAAAGTTACATGGTTTTTTGCCTCTTTCTCCGGTGTCCTTGACTGAATTGTGCTCATTCTGGTATGGTTTGAAAGATCTCTTCACTCTGCACAAGTTAGCGCACAAAGTTGTCCTTGACCGTTAAAACTGATGACGTCACAAAGGGTAGAAAGGACGTGGATCTGCACGGGCGGTTCAGGGGCGAATGGGTTAAAATGCACGTTTATTTGAGTGTCAATGTATTTAGCACGAAAGTGCTAATTGGGGACACTATTTTTATGTCTCCTAATGGAGACGGGACCGCCATTCTACGTGGTCATCCGAGCTATGCGAAGGTCTTGCCGATTGCAGTGCAAAGGGAGTACCTTCATTTCTCAGTCATTTTAAGACCCTGAGTAATGGTCCCGCCCCGGGAATCGAACCTGCGACCTCCCGCTCTGCAGTTAAACGCTCTACCGACTGAGCTAATCCTGCCACGGTTAAATGGATATTTTCACGGTTGAAAATGGATATTTTCTAGGTGTGCTGAAAACAAGCCACAAATATTATTGCTAACATGATCTTAAAATAATTACGGTTTATTACACGTACATGTTCTTGTCACAACATCATTTTTTTTTCTCATTTTGCCAAGTGGAGAATTTGTGCCATTCTTCCTCTGGCAGCAGGAATGAATAATTTATTGTGATTTGCAACTGTTTAGAATTTTCTCGTTACTTAGGTCACACATTTGCTACAGTGGAACCTCAATATAATGAACCTCAATCTATATAACAAAGTCATTGGTGTAAAGAATGATTTGCTTTACCCATGACAAGAAACCTCAACGTAACAAAACCTTGTTATAGCAAACAAATTTGTTGACCAGTCCCTTGGCCCCTCAATTATCAAGGTTCCACTGTCTTTTAAACAGAAAATATGTACATCTGCAAGTTAACAGAAAGTAGAGTTTTCCCTGCTGCCATTGATAAATAATCCAGAGACACATTTACTCCACAAACAGTTGCACATGCAACTCCTCACATCCATCGTTGGTTAGTATTCAAAACTTAAAAAGAGTCTTTACTGGTTGAAATCCAAGTTCCCCAGGTCAGGATACTTCATTATTCTGGAACAAAACCTTCCCTCTATGACTGTATGTGTAAAATGATGGTCTGTTGCCAAGGGATTCCCAGCTCCTGAGAAGAAAAAAATGCTTTCATGTTTATGTTTTCGTCTTTAAAAGATTTACAAGAAAATGTTGGGGCACTTCCTGCAGAAAGTATGATACAGTTTTTGTGTGTGTAGTGTTCCCTTGCGCACAGTGTCACTGAGGCTAGAAGCAGAGTTTTCCCCATTCTATTGTAAATTTGTTCAAGGCCAAGTTTGATACATGACTATAGAGATGGCCTACAATAGGCTCTTACTACAAGGATGCAGCTAACAAAAATTATAACGTGAATTAGGATTAAGAGGATGATGATGATGATGATTATCATGATTATTATTATTATTATAAATTATGACCAACAATGGAATACTAAGTGAGCTTTCGAGCAAAAACATGATATCTTCACACTTGAAAAGATCACCATTGCTACAGTTACATCAAAAAATTGTGCCTCTTGTAGAAAAAATAGTTTAGTGAAAATGGTTTAATAATAAATAGAACATGACATGGCCACTTGGAGATACTAAATTTCTCTTCTATTGTTCAAAAATCGAGAAATTTTGTATTTCCGTGCACCCATGTAATATCCTCTATTATAACAATGACCTTTAGTAATTCTGATTTGAAACTTACTTGTTGGCCATCTCAGCAGCTGCTCTGATTTCCCTAAATTCTCCAGCTACTTTAGCTACACCCAAACATCCAATTATCAGCCCTAGGATACACTGAATACACACCTGTAACCATGACATACATAACATGAGTGGAAGAGCCCACAGAGTGATACTCAGAATCAAAGATGGTGAGGATGACTAAATGGGGACAAAAATCAACCCCCCATTTCCTCTCTGGAAAAAAAACACTAGGATGATAAAAAAGACCAAAAATCTCCCTGAAATAAAATTAAGCTCACAAAAAAACCCATTATTGTTTTTTAACTGTAAAGATTCCTAGAAGGGTTATGGCTATCTGAGGTTAATTAAGGCATTTTCAAACTCTAGCTTTAGCCAGTTATAATCAATTAATAAAATTATAAGCAGTAAACCAGTACCACCGCATTCAACATATGTTGATCACATAGAAATGTTAAACAGTCAAAAGTGTCTCGCGCCTTGTTGACTGTTGAAGTAGGCCATTCAACATGTTGATCATTGTTGAACGCAAATAGTGATGGTATACCTGCCAACTTTTTCTGAGATATAAGCGTGAGATTTTTATCCTGGAAGTGCTGGGATTTTTGAAGACGACACGATCATTTCCGAAGATTTCCGAAGAAGTCCGAAGTTTTCTGAAGAAGTCCGAAGTCTTCCGGAGACATCAGAAGTCTTCCGAAGATGTCCGAAGTCTTAGGACGCGTCTAAACACGAGCTGGCTCCCAGTGCTTTTCACTTCAAAAATCAGAGATTGCGAGGAAGGTATTGCCATTTATTCATTTTACACATGGTTTTCGTTCCTTACATGGGTCTGAGTTAACATATTTTTGGAAATTGTGTCAAGGAAGACGGCAACAACTCACATTTTTCAACCAGGCGTGAGAAATTGGCCCGCAAGCGTGAGCCGGCGTGAGATCGAAGTTTTCAACCCGCAGGCGTGAGTCTCACGCCTAAGGCGTGAGAGTTGGCAGGTATACGATGGGCTGTTCAATGCAACAAGTTGGATATTTAATTGAAACTTGTTGAAGAAAAAGAGCTGCAACATTTTTTGATCAATACTGAACCGAGTGCTTAACTCTAATCAACTTACATCAAGAGGAAGACCAGGAAATTCTTCTTCCAGCAACTTATAGTAGGTTCGGCCTTGAAACATTTAATAGTAAAAGTATATTAGTTTGATGCATAATGAAGGATTTCGATCAAGAGATGATTTAATAAGCTTAAAACTAAGTCTAAATTTGAGCGTTATACTTACATTGAACAGCTGAATATCCGGCGTGTAATATAGCAGCTAAACCAAAGAACACTAAAATGCGACCAAGTATTACCATATCGCTAGCAGCAACTACACAAGTTTAGTTAAAACTTAAGAAAATTCAGCACATGAACCTTCAGCTGTCCGCCATTCTCTTTCGAGCACCTTGAAATCCCATTTACGTAAGATGTCACATAATGTCACTTCTTGGGATTGTGCCCAGTTCTCCTCATGTATCCGCGCCGAGGAATTGAGGACCGGAGAAGAATGCTGACAGCATCGCCTGTGATTCTTGGACCTATACTTTGAGCAAGAATTCTTTTTCCAACAGACTTAGTTCTGCAACTAATTTTCCAAACAGAGAGTTTGGGTGAGAGGGAAATTGAAACGGCCCAACTCCCTCAAGGCTCCAATTTAATGAACGCCCCTAAAATCAGAGTGCGCGGATATTTTTTCATCAGAGCTTGATCTCTGGTGACGAGCCCCAAAGAGGACGAAACAGCTGTCTATGGCTACAATCCCGCTCTGTTTTGTGTCGTGTTGATGTCTTGCAGAGTTAATTTTCACGTAGTACGATCAGCATTACAGTATCCTGCTTGCAGAATTCAATATGTCTGCCCCTAAATAATCAACCCCAACGATGGCTTTATTGCTTGATGAAACTCTCGAGCCAGAGTAAATATTTGAAACAAAAAAATAGTGGAAGATGCAAATTTAACCCACGTTTTACCCAATTTTTTCCCGTGGAGTCCGACCTCGTCCCCATAGCCTGCATCATGCGGCGCTTTTAATATGAGCCGGCCAAGCGAGGCGAACGCGGCATTTTGCGCGATGTACGAGACAAGCGCGAATCGCTATACGAGGGGAGGAGAAAAAATAGCGTCCACAAGCCTTTTCCCTTAGAAAATGGGAGGGGCTGGGACGAGGTTACCCCACGCCCTCTCCGAAACGAAACTCTTTTACGATGCCCACCATCTTTGCACGTCCCTTAGGATCGATGGGATATTAAAAGTAATATCACGTGGTATTTTAGGGTGCAAACAAGTGGTAAAACTTGCCAATGCGAGTAATCGCGGTCGAGATTGTTTAGGGGCCGTCCCGGGGGGCCCCCGGAGGGGTCGTCGACATGATCCCTTTTCCCCCGCTTAACGTCAACTGGACGTTTAGGGGGGAGGGGGGTAAGGCAGTGGAAGCTATAGTGCGGGGCATTTTTGGACATGTGGAGCAGCGCTCGTTACATTATTTAAGAGAAAGCAGGACCAATTAAAGAAGTGAATGTAAATTGTGATCTTTTATAAAACTCTACTCTTAACTACCAGCAGTGTATATTTTACATTGTGATTTTTTAAACTCTATCCTAAATCACCAATAAATTTTTACAAAACCAAACATTATGGTTAGTTTGCTAATATTGTAAATACCTTTGTCAGAAGTCAACTGGGATCTTTTTCCAATGTATACTTTAAAAGTCAGCCTTCTTTTTTGAGAATCCGTTCACAGCCTCATCGGGCAAAATCCAAGGCAATCATTTTCACTTCAATCTAACAACAAATGACATTTTTTTACTTTATCTGAATAAGGTGTAAAGATGATAACTTTCATAATGAGTAACAGTCTATCTTAACAGTATTCTTAATAGCACAAGTGTCAAACCCAACTAATTTCCTCGAATTCTTCCTCACTTAGGTATATCATGAGTATACAGATCATGTTCTTCGTTGTATTGTAAAACTCCCTGATGAAGTGTGCGTTAGTCACACAGTGAAAACGCGTAGGAGATAATAAAACAGTTTTTAGCATGTTAACAAAGCAAAACGAAACGAAAAATTTACTAATTGAAGAAATCAGCCTGTGGACTGATCGAAGTATAATTCTTAGACACCAGAGTACTTAATCGTCTGCGTGGTTGGTTACGCCAGCTCGGCATACTTGTCAGGCACGCGCAAGAGAAATTCTTTCGCCCTTTATAGTTTGTAAATTTGTTGTTAAAATTTTCTCCTCCGTGATACAAGAGGATCGAATTAAACTGGTAGAGTAAACTTTGAGAGCTCATTTCACTGAAAACTCTTCTTGAAGAGAGCTCTCCTAGCTTCTGCACGAGCCAGACTGGCGGGAGACAAATTTTCACGAGCGCAGAATGACCAGTCCACTTTTTGCAGGTAAACTCCTTCGCATAAGAAGATCATGAATGCAGTGCGATAGATGCTGGCCTGTTATTGGGCACAACAATATTTTTTGTGCCCAATCACAGACAAGCATTCGAAAAAGACTTGGAATGTTAAGAGTATAGTATCCAAGAGGCTCTCTCACCCGTTTTGGAAAACTTTCGCAGCCGTTTTTCCTGACCCAACTAACCGCCCCTGGGTCTTCGAGTATGGTATTTCTGCAAATCTTAAACTACTCTGGATAGCCTAAAAAGTGCTTTCAATGTGTATGCAACAGGAAATCGTCGTCGGGTGCCCCTGAAGACTATGATTTCTTAGGTTGAAGTTTTCTCATTTGAACTTTTTATATACGTAAGCCCGAGCTCACTCAGTTTATATGCGTCTAGTCTCCTGAGTCTCTAAAATTAAATATAGTGTTTTTGCCTAAAAAAGTATGTTAAACAATTGGCATTTCTGTAGACTACGAGTAGTCCCTCATTTTTCCTCAGAGATAGTAGAGCGAGCAAAACGCGAGCGCGCAGTTTGCAGAGCTGACTGGCAAGAGGAACTGCCTTTGCGTTATCTATTTGCGTAGTAGTATAAGTAGCATGTATAACAGGCGCCTTATGAGCCAAGCGAGGCGACCGAGGCATTTTTCGCGAAGCGCGAAACGAGTGCGAAGCGCAAAATGCCGCGTTGACCTAATTAAGAAATGTGACATAAAAAGGTGAGCAACGACGAATATCGAATAGATTATTTTTATTATTTAAAATCAGACTTTGTTCAAAGGCTTGGGGAGATAAAACAAAAGAAATCTATGGCGCGCCGTTTGTTTCAAAATTATGTGCTGACGTGATATCATCCGCGTATACAGTCGACTCCCGTTATTGCGGACACCCTCGGGGGTAAGACTTAGGGTGCGTTCGATTGACACTATTCCGGAATAAGAAAGGAATAAACCCGAACAACCGTTCGATTGAGACGCTATTCCAATTCCGGAATACATGGAATGTATTCCAAACATTCTGCTCCAGAGAGCAGAATACTTGGAATAATCCGGAATAATGACGTCATGCTTCGCGGTTTTTTTCAAATCAACAAACAAAATGGCTTCCGCTGCGTGCGAGCAAAACGAAATTTTACTCAAAAAAGGATACTCCTGGAGTCGGGAAGAGACCCTTCTCCTCATTTCCTTGTACGAAGAAAAGAAAGAGATGTTCCAAAATGTTAACTACAAGAAGAAACAAGTCTGGGAAGTGATTGCGGCGATAATGCAAGCGGAGAGTGTCGAGAGTGGTCGAAATATTTCGCCGCGGGCTGACCAGTGCGAAGGCAAATGGAAAGCTCTCACCCTTGCCTTTCGCAAATGCGAAGATCATAACAGTCAAACTGGCAACGAAAGAAGAGAATGTCCATTTTACAAGGAGCTATCGGAAGTGTATGGCTACCGGCCTAATGTTAGGCCATATGCCACGGCAAGCAGCTCAGGGCAAGGCGACTCCTTAAGGTGTCCTGAGAACGATTCCGCGAAGTCAGAGAAGTCAAGCGACGATGATGTCAAGGAAAGAACACCTGAAACAAGCACAGCTACGAAGAAACGTAAGACAGTGGCAAGCAGCTCTACGACGCCCAAGAAACCACGCTTGGGCTCTGGTGGACGAAACGAATGTCTTGCATGGTTTAAGGACTATGCAGAGCAGAAGCGTGTCGAGCAGGAGGCTCAGCGAGAAAAGGCTGAAAAACACCACAGAGATAAAATGGAGCTGCTCTCTGGCATCTTGGGTGTCCTAAAGGATTTAAACAAATTAATTCCAGCTCTTGAAACTGGCTTTTACTTTGCCCGTCAATTTTTGAACAACATATTACTGCATATGGACTATAAAGTTGCAAATGTTCAACAAGTTTCCTTTATCTGCTGAAATCTTTTAACAGACATTTTAAAGTATTATTTCAAAACCAAGGATATTTATTATATGTTATTTATATATTTGAAGTGAAACAGTTTATAAAGTTCATGTTAATGCAAGATATAAAATGATTTTATACTACTTATTATTAAAAGACAATTTTTAAAATTTGTGGCAGATGTTATTGAGTATTTCATAGAAAGGGAATGGCTTTATCTGATGTGCTGGGTAATTACAACATACTCTGAAAATTCTGCATAACACAGTTATAAATTTTGTTTAGAAATGCTGCTAGCTGACAGACTACATGTTGATCATGATTGGTATAAACATCCAAGTAACAAGTAAACTACATGTGCCCATAGGGGTTTTTTGCTGAAAGCTAATACAATTTTTTTTTCTTAAATTCCCATTTTGCTTGAGTTTACTGCTCAACATTGAATTTAAGAACACTGAACAGTTCTTGGCATAGGAACACAGTTCATTGAACTTTGTTTTAGAGCAGATTTGGGCTGGTTGAATTTGTGGGGGAAGGACAGTGTGCAAACATAATATATAATATAGCTTCAAAGGGGAGTATGGCTATAAAGCAGCTGAGAGCATGATGTAGGTGTGGCAATAAACTTATAATTACCATAATACGGTGGCATCAATAATTGTGGCAAGAGTAAATGACAAATCTGAGGAAGCCTGTACTACAGGAGCAAACAAATGTTCATACAAGGTGACTTTGTAGATTCTTTCTGATGAAAGATATTGTTCCCTTCATTGTCATATTATGGTGCAGGGCAGTTTGGATAAGTGAATGTTATTTTCCAGAAAATGGAGACATCTTCTGGATGGATGATTCAAGCTGTTCAAAGAAACACAATTTTTTGACTGGCTAGTAAGCAGGATTTGTACAATAACAGGTAAATGCAAATTTGATTTCTCACCCCTTATAATTATTTTGGCTTTTTTAGCATTATAAGGGGTTGGTGCAAATGGCAATCATTACGTATATTACAGGGACATTTATTACATTTGTAGAAGCCCCCTCCCCCCTCCACCTGTTATAATAAAACAAGAATGAAATTACAATTGTGGTCTTAAACTACTGTCTGGGTAAAATACACTAAAAGTCCAAGCTTCCGTGTCAGTTTTAAAAGGATGAGCTCATCGTATCACATAATCATGCGGTCCGGGAAAAGATAAACTAACAAATAATAGAAAAGCTATATAGGTGGGTTAATCATTTTTGCAGCTGTCCCCAGAGGAGGAGCTAGAAGTCCGCAGTTGCCTAGCTGCAATAGAGACGGAAGAAAGGAAGAAAGAATTAAAAAAGAAGGAAAAAGAACTGAAGGAAAAGGAAGAGAAATTGATGCAAAAAGCCACAGAAATTAGAAATGCCACCATAGAAGCCAAGCGGGTGGCTGCCCAGCTATAACTAATGGCGGGGCAGCTTGGCCGCTTGGCCAACCAAATTTTGGCAGAAACCAAAAAATATAAAAAAATATAAAAAGAGATTCAACCAGCAGCATTGACCTTTGTTAAAATTTATTATGCAAATCAAGTTTTCTAATACAAATTGTTATTGGTAAGGGAATGGCATGCGAAGTCCTTGTTAGTTGTGTCCAGAGGCGAACCTGAATATGTAGCAAATAAACTTACCGGTATTTCTCGCATCCTGTAGAATCTTTTCCTTTTCCACCGTATCCACACCTCTGTCTCCATCCATCGCTTTCCTATATTACACCACTATCTCTGTGAAATTTATCACCCATACTGGTTCTCTACAGGCTTCCAATTGGCAGGCACCCCCTCCACCCGACACAACAAACATTCTTCACCACCATGCACTAGTATCAGTCCTCACCATCCACAGAACCTTCTCGCTCAAGGAAGCACTTTATTTTGCAACCTATCAGATAAATTATAAAAAAAGATATTTATAGACATACAAAAATCCAGGTATAGAAAATAAATAAACATAGACAATATAACCCCGAATTACATGGTAACATCTATATAACCCCGAATTACATGTTAACATCTCTAAAAATATAGATACTATTATCAGTATAATCCCATATCGCGTATTCAGCATCTCTTAAATTAAATGTTTCCACACCAACTCCCTAAACTACACCACAAACTAATCCCGCCCCGTCCCCTCCCCCACTAGCAAAAGAATATACAGCCCCTTATTTTTACAACTTTAAAACCTCAGGTGCATTAACAAAGTAATTTAAATACAAATTTCTCTTCTGGAATCAATAACCCATAACTAAATGAGAACCCATCAACCTATATACAAATGTAGACCTATTCTCCGACCAATAACTAAATGAGAATTTGTTAATCTATCCGCAAAAAGCCATCTACAATAAACCATAACAATGACTGAGCGTTGAGGAATATAATTTATCAGTATAGACAGTAAAACAAGGAGGCTAAATTATTGGGCTGCCTGTGTTCGTGGGATGACTACGGCTTTGCCAAGACACGCCTTCTGGGATTTTGCCACAAAGCTATGTTGGGTGGAGAATGAAACTAAGCAAGCTGGAGGATGAGACAATGCTAAGCAAGCCCAAAAGATTTCAAAGGATGAACAATGTCACCTGACATACCTGTCAATAACGTACAGTCCGATTATGCATAAAATAAAAAAAATATGCTAAAAAAAGGGGCCGGCGCCCCGCACTCCCAGTCCCGATGGACCCCCTCCTTAATATGAACTAAATAAACAAACATTGTTGCTTGTATCAGTTTCTGAACTCATGTAGTAGTTATTGAACTTTGTTGTCGTTCTTGAACTAAAGTGTCTTTATTGAACTACAAAAAAGAAAACCCGCTAAATAATGACCGGTCCCTAATATATATAAATTACTATTACAGGTAGAGCAGACAAGAAGTCAAGTGTAAGGAAAATTTTCAACCATCACCAGATAGTAGATTTTTTACAACAGCAACAGAACTTAACAGTAATTCTGCATGAGCTCATTATGCTTGGCAACTGCATGACAACCTGGAGTCAAGATATTTTCAAAATCATTAACTTCCTCTTCTATGTCACCCATAAAGTCTTCCCATTGATCACCGCTGTCAAGGCATACATTATGTAAGGTGCATGCAGCAATTATTACTGTTGGAATATCCTGGATTCGTAACATGTCCAGGTATTTCAGTCTGCGAAATCTTCCCTTTAGCAAGGAAAAGGCCCTTTCAATAACCATTCTTGTAGATGAATGGATGAAATTGAATCTCAGCTGCTGAGGTGTTAAATTGCCACGATCTTTAAAGGGTGTTATCATCCAGGTCTCCAAAGTGTATGCGGAATCCCCCAGGAGGTAGGAATCATCTTGGAATTTGTCGTTGACAGTTTTAAAGAAATCTGAATTTTTAAAAACTCTTGAGTCATGCACACTACCGGGCCAACCAGCATAACAGTCGAGAAAGCGCATTTCATCGTCGCAGATGGCAGTCAAGTTGACTGAGTGAAAATTTTTTCTGTTTATGTAATTCTCGGGACACTCCTGCGGTGCTTTTACACGAATATGCGATCCATCAATAGCACCTCTCACGCCGGGCAGTCCTTTGTGCTTACGAAAACCTTCCATGATCACCTGAGCTCTTGCCTGGTTCGGCCACACAATAACCTGGCCAGTGATGTTATTTTTCAGCGCTTTGCAAACTCTGTTGACACATGTAAATACTGAGCTCTTCGTTACATTGAATCTGTCTGATATTGATCTTATTGATTCTTGATTTCCAAGAAACCACAATGTAATCAACAAGTGCTTCTCAACACTTATCGGCTCTCTACCTCCGTGCTGCGGGCCAGTAGGAAGCTCTGGACAGTTTCCAAGTTCTACAACAAGCTGTTCAAATGTGTCCGCCGAAATGCGAAAATGGCTGCGAAACTCTGACAAATTATAATTGGGAACAACAGTTTCCGCATAACCTTCGATGCGAACCGCTTTACGCCGCTCTGACAACAAGTTATTTGCATAAAACAGGGGCAGAAACTCTTCTAAGACATCTTCTTCCTCTTGTACAGATTCCTCCTCGAGAAATTCTTCAACAAAAGTTGCAAAACCTGCAACAATGACCTTCAATGTCGCCGCCATGTTGCTGTTCACGATGTTACGGAAATTTGTATTTTCCTTCGGAAAACCGCTGTCTGCGTGTTATGTCGCGGGCATTATTCCAGAAACGGAATAATCGTTTTATTGACGAAAGGATGGAATGGCTATTCTGGAATAATCCGGAATGTATTCTTATTCCGGAATAGGGTCAATCGAACGCACCCTTAGTGTCCGCAACAGCGAGAGTCCGTAATAGCTGGGTACTAGAGGAAAAATTTGTTTTCTCTATAAACTTACGAAATAATATGGAAAAGGCCCATAAGCCTTGTAGTTTCGACAATTCTTTACTTCTTTTAACTATGGAACATAAAAGATAAAAGATAATAAGATTATAACTAGATCTAAATATGCTGTATTATCACTTCCAAGCTCCTGCAATGACAAGGGATACATAAGAAAGGGAAACCAAACGGAAACTACTCCAGTAACATGAATGGCTAAAATGTTAACTTGCTGTCAAATAAAATGATTTTTTTTATTGTTCTTGGCAGCTGTTTTATCGCAGAAATGCTGCACAGTATACTCATAAAAGAAACATGTCTAACGACTTTTACAATAGAGTGTTAAAATAACGCAAAATGTTTGTAAGCTCTAATGTCAATGTCTAAAATGCTGTACAGCAATCATTTGTTTACTCTTTTACAAAGAAGCGCGCGGTCAATAGTACTTTGTGTCATTTTTTCGTTTATTGTAACGTCGCTTTAATTATTCTTTATGTTATGTGAGTCAAGATTTTTGACAAAGTACTCAAGTGTCCGCTATAGCGAGAGAAAAAACAAGTGAAATGTCGCGCTTGGGGGCAGGAAAGTGTCCGCATTTCCGTAATAGCGAGAGTTCGTAATAGCGGGGGTTTATTTCAGTCATTTCTTCATGCTTTTCGCCCGGGGGCTGGCTCTTGTCCGCATTAGCGGGGTGTCCGTAATAGCGAGGTGTCCGGAGAGTCGACTGTATGTGGAGCCGTCATGTGCGAATGTCGACTGTCACGTCATCGAGTCACTATGTCACGATTTGTTCATTGGACATTGTTTGACTGCCGTTTGGCTTTTTCTACTGTTTCAGCGTTCTGTAAATTTTTATGTCGTCCCCGTAGGGCAAAAGAATGGGTTCCAAGGCACCTCAATGAAAACAACAATCTTTAACTCCAGAAAAACAAAGCCCTTGTGAGAAAGATGTTAAGGAGATTGAAACATGTGGTCCATCTGCCATCCAAACATTTCCGGCTCCATCCATAATAATTTTGGAACCTCGCAACACCTCGGCGCAAATGGAGAGTCTTCCAACGCGCGATAGCCGCTTCCAAGAGAAGATAAACGCACTACAGATGCAGTCACTGCATCCCACACGAGCCACACTGTTGCCTACCGACCAAACATGCTCTCATAACTCGCTTGATCAATCAATCGTGTCGTGCATAGCCTGTGAACAGGCCTTTAGTCGAGCGGGGTGGGGAGAGGGAAAAGCGCTATTTTTCCCCAAACAGAGAGCCTGTTCACAGGCTATGTCGTGCACGTCATTCTTAACCGATGAACTACAACAAAGACAAGGTACGGGTAAGTTGATTGCCTAAATTAGTTTTAATTTCTGCTTTCGCCCATTTTCTGCATTTACCATACGTAGAGCTTTTAACCTCTGTTAACCTCCCCCTAGTTCAAGGTAATGCCAGTTTTATCTATTGCCCAATGAATACTTCACATAACGCGTTCGCAATTAATTAAAATTAAAAGAAATAAAAAATGAATGAGAATCCCGGTAATAATCTCGTCCCCAGGGCTTTTCCCTCAGTACATGTGAAATCCCTGGGGACGAATTTTGCTTGCGGTAACTACGATTATCGTTACTTCTTATTTGGCCTCAAAATGACGGTTATCGTAATTTTGAGGTCCCTGACCCACACCCCAACCCATACCCTAGCCCTAGCCCTAACCCTTACCCTACAAGATGATATCAATCTTCTCTCTAAGGGTAAGGGTTTCTCTAATGGTAAGTGTCTCGAAAGCAAATTCATTCTTTTTATCTTAGCTACCAAAAAATATTACTTTGTCCCATGCGTGGACCTTCTGCTGGAAAAATACCGAGTCGAATTTAACACAATGTAACATGGGGGTTAACATTGACTGGTGCATACTCAAACGTCCTGTTCCCACGGCTGTCATTAAGAGTTGGGGGCCGGGTATTTTCCCTCGACTATTATGTACGTGGCTCCGGCTACTTTCTTAGGAAAATAGAAGAAAAATAGAACCAAAAGAAATCCCTAGCTGTTTGATTCCCCGCGCCGCCTACTTGTTGTATTTACCCGGCTACTTGAAATCTTAGTGACATCCCTTTCCTGTTACCTCGATTTTCGCTGTTCTTTTGAAACTAGAGGTCCAAATTGCTTCCACACTTCCGCCGTGGAAATTCATCGCTTAAAGCATTACTTAACCGCTAATACGGCCACAAAACAGCCGGGCTAAAGTTTGAGCACTTACTCACCCCATCTAACGGAATCTCAATTCTGGAATCCGGAACCTTTTTGCTTATGGAATCTGGAATCCGGGAAAATTTTGCTTGTGGAATCCGGAATCCGGTATACAGCTCCACGAATCCGGAATCTCACAATATTCCATTAAAGATTGGAATCCAGAATCTAAAAGTTCCACGGACAAAATATACTGCGTCTGGAATACAGAATCCAAGCCTCTCTTGGGGCTAATCTTGGGGCGAGCTTACTTTCAAATTTACCCAGGGGGTGGGCATTGGGGTATAAAGCGTCGGCAAGGGAAGCGTCCCTACTCGACGCTATTCTCTCCGATGTTCAGCCCTCGATACGAATGAAAGTAGTCTGGCCGCACGTTATAGTGGGCGCTTCTATGTTGAGATCAACACTGAAAGTCGAGGCAAACAAAATTAGTAGGTTTCCAATGCAAAGAACCGGTCATAAATTATTTGTTTTGTAGCCCATATATGATAAGAAAATTTTACGTTAAGGGTTTCATGTACGCGGTCACCACTGATGCGCTCGGACAAATTGCACCCTTAAGTCATAGATTTTGATACGCCTGCTCGGAAACCTTCGGATGGATCAAACAGTTTGTCGTTAGATGTCATCTTACCTCGAAGTAACGGAGAACCATACGGCTCAGACGGCTTTATTTTTGAAGAACAAACACTGGTTCAGTGCAGCAAACAAACACTGAAATTTGATTATTCGTTCCAGTGGTTGAACGAAACTGAATTTGCATCACATAATCTGTGATGCGAAAGCAGAATTCAATAATTATGTTCCAAGCACTTAGTAATGTGATCGGTGAGGCATCAAGATAAAAGAGAGAGAGAGATTAATATTGCATTTGCGTTTTGATGATGAGTTGTTCCTGAGCTCCTTAGGCAATTTTCCCTTCCTACCTTTTTAGCATTGTTTCACGGTCAAACGCACACACTTACACAAACAAGGAAGGTGCGAAGACACGCGTAAAGGCTGAAAGGAGACAGAGATCTCAGTTCGCTTCACTCGATTTCTGGATTTCAGATTAACGTTTGACTCGGGGCGTTCATTTAATATGAAATATGATCTGATTCGTCCACCGTATTAATTATTAATCCCTGGAATTGTAGCTAGCCCGAATTCACATTCAACAAGGGTTCTTTTCTCTCTAGCGTTTTGACATTTAACTATATCATAATAGTGGGCAGAAAGAGAGAAAGTATTGTCGAAAACACCAAAAATAAATTAAGTATTAAATAAGACACGAATGCAGTAAAGCTTATCGCTACTGTCTGCTTTGCCTTGTTAGTTTGAGAACCAGCAGTGATAAATGTACCAGCACAGCGGTTGCTCACTCAAATTGGCGCCAAAAATATGAGCGGCAAAGACGCGCGCATGCTTTCCAGCTTCATTTATTTCTGCGCGCCATTTTACATTCCGCATAATTATCTAATTCCGCAAGCCATGCCACATGCCTTTCCGCAAACTCATTCCTCCTTTTACCCTCACCGGTAAGTAAGTTTTTTTAAAATTATTTTTGAAGTTAACAGAGCTACAGAAGAAGCACTTTGTTTGAAGAAGAATCTACCCTTATTTACGGCCGGCTATACTACGTTGGGTTAGGAAAGTCCACATAGTTGAATGGAGATTTGAATTTAAGTCATTCCCTGTCCGTTCGGTCGTTTCCATTATTTGGCAAATTAATAGGTCACTGAGTTAGGTACATTCGCGACCAAGGGCTGAGATAGAGTCCTGAGCATACATCACGTTCAGGGCTTCAGCTCAGTTCTCAGTTTCTTGCGTATCACCGGTAAAACGGTTATAGCTGAAGACCATTTTTATCGATGTAAGGTTACAGTTGACTGCATTTAAGAACCCGGGAGCAATGCCTTCGGATGGCCATCCCGGCATGTTTGAACTAAGATCTTTAAGGAGTTTTCTCCGCGGTAAATGTACACGGCTGGCGAACAAAGATACATTTTTAATAATTTCTTGCATAGAACTATAACTGCCGACAAGAGAGAATGTGTAATAATTTCGTGCATAGAATTATAACTGCCGACAAGAGAGAATACCTCATTCTCTCTTGCTGCCGAGCAGTTGTTAGGCATCTTATCCCGGAGGGGGGGGGGTACTCCTGGGAATTCTTTGTGGGGGTGTGCCGCCCGGTTCCTCAAATCCTGACCTGATTTCGGACCAAAAAATGTAATTTTCCACACCGGTTTTCAGACTAGACCTCTAAAATCCTTACCCGTTTTGAGACCTGGCCTTTATACAGAAATTATGTTATCATTACTTAGCCGTTAGAGCGCAAGAAGAAATTATTCAAATCCATTTCGAATTCGCATATTTCTCTTTTTTTTCTTACTAATTTGGAATTGAAACGATAAATACTTTCATACATTACGTAGTTCCCTCGAAAACCATGTCCGATTCCAGACCAAAACGGCGCAAAAACGCTACCAGATGGGGCGGCACATACCGATATGGCTTATATGAGGGAGTACCTCCCTCCCGTATCTTACCCGTGGTTTGAGGGCCCTTCAACAGTAGTCGTGTTGGTATTTCTTCAATTACTCAAATTAAAAAATGCAAATTCGAATAGAATGCATCAACTCCCTCGAAACGAGCTCGGACCGCATTTGAAATGAAAACGTTTCACTGAGGCAAATTAAAAAAAAAATAGAGTACTCTAAAAAGCATAACCTCAAGACTAATACCACATGCTACGTTAAGGCCGATTTGCATTGCACAATTTTGGGGCTTGCTTCATGCATAACATGTACCAACAAAGTGAATTATACCGTAAAACCAAACCTAGGAAAATTGCAAGTCAGTTCACGGTCTGATTCGTCTGTGTCTCTACCACAATTTGTCGGAGAGGAAACGCTCAGTATCGCCGAAAAGCTTTGATATTGATACTAAGACCGAGGAGACCTTAATGGCAGTCTTGACCAACCAGCCTGGCGTTACAAAATAAATAAAGGTGCTTTCCGAGTCTTCGAGCAAAACAGGATGGCAGAAGCGCAGTTTAAAGTAATTTTATTGCCACCTGCTTAAGAAATTCACCAGTGTCCGGAATGCGGCAAGGCCTTCCGTGCACATCATAGAGGACACACCACACTAAATCCCTCTCCTCATAACGTTTTTGTTCACGACGGACGAAGAACAACAAAATGATTCGAGCCATGGGCTTTCTCATTAGACAGAGCCAGTAAGCCGTGTAACTCGGTCTTCATATCGGTATTTTTCATACCTTTCGTTAGCGTTCACCCACGGAACGCAATGTAAACGGTGTTAATTCCATGCTTAGCTTTTCCTACTGGCCGATCCGCACCCTAGCATTTATTTTATTAAAGTTATAGATATAAACCAATTCTCGAATCCTCAAAAGTACCCTTTGTTTACCCTCCCTCCCCCCTCCCCTCCCCCAAAAAACAAAATTGCATAAACTGTTGTTTTCTTTTATGTTCCTGGAAGACTCAAATTTTGCAAAATGTACTGTTCTAGTTCAAGTTCTAGGTCATTACTGCTTCCTTTGCGGACATCTACAAGCGCTCCTGTAGATTCATTGTCTGTCGTCTTGAATAAATTTAAACAAACTCAACCGCGGTTTCTTCCATTGGCATTTTTTTCACTTGTTTGCGGCCCCCTGAGAAACCACGTGATATCGCTTTTATCCCATCAGTCCTTAAGCGTGTGCAAAGATGGCAGGTATCCTGAATAAGGTCTGTTATCCGTGTTATAATGGTAGCGTTCTCGTTGTAATTAAAGTGAAACCCTGCTTTACGGACACCCACTTAATACAGACACCTCATTATTACGGACAGTTTGCTTTGTCCCTGGGGTAAGAAAGCCCTTTTCTTTAAAGTTAACCCGCTTAATACCGACACTTTTTATACCCCCCGCCTCAGTGTCCGTGTTAACGGGTTTGACTGTATCATGCTTTTTAGTGTCAGCTTTATTTCCAACTCACGAAAATCATCCCGAAATATGCCGACAGCACTCTCTTCGAGGTAGTTCAAACCTCACGAATATCAGTCGAAAAGCAGCTATTGGATTGAGGTTTAGACTCCCTTTAATGATTTTGGTGGAAACGTCTCTACGTATTGATAACTACGGCCGGTAGTAGTTAGGCATGCTTCAAGCGTCGTGCTACTGCCTTGTCGAACGAGATTGACTGTGTGAAATTCCACTAAAGCACGGCCTTAGTTTAAAGTCTGAAACCAAATCGTGCTAAATTGACGTGTAGCACCACAAGTTTCGTCTGCTACACGGCAGTAGCACGATCTGGTTTCAAACGTGGTGTTACTTCCGTGCTGAATTTGATTTATATCTTATATATGCGTGAGAATTATCATAGAAACATTTTTAGAGCTGTTTAAACCGTTTTTTTTTTCTATCTTTTGTTTTCGACAACCGCTACTTTATTCAATTGAAATTAATTCAACGTCTGAAACCAAGTCATGCTAGAGTCGTGTTAGTAAGAGTAGTCGTGCTACAGTACGTTGAGCTAGATTACCGCTGCAGGAGTACCACGTTTGAAACGGGTCTAAAATAGGTAATTTTGGGCCATTTTCATGTTTTTTTTTCTCGTTTTTAGATTTATGGACCCGAGGAATGGCAAAAACAAACTATCAAAGGATCACCAATACTACTCAGGCAGAAAATGTCAGCTTTTTCTCCACTCTTTTATTCCGATGGATGAACGATGTTCTAAAGTCTGGAAATGAACGGGCTATCGATGAAAATGATTTTTTATCTCTTAACGAAGAATGCACCGCATGCTTTTTGACAGAGCAGCTTCAGTCGAAATGGACAGATGAAACAGCTAACAGCAAAAGACATGATAAACAACCAAAACTTTGGAAAAGTGTGTTGAAAATGCTCACCACCAGGGAAGCAATGATCCTCTTTGTAACTGCTACGGGGCTTCTATTTTGTCGCGTTCTCCAACCACTGCTACTTGGATATCTCGTCAAATCTCTGATGACGGCAGAGCTACAGTATCATTTTCTTCTCTATGGCTGTGCTTTAGCACTCGGGATCAATGAATTAATCGGTTCTCTCTGTTGGCACCAATTTGACTACCGCTGTGAGGTCTTTGGTATCAGAATTAGTAGCGCCATTAAAGGAATAGTGTATATAAAGGTAACGAAGAAAACAAAAACACGTGACAAGTAGGGACGTTAAGGAATATTTACAGCACTAGGCCCTGTGCAAACGGACGCGTTATTGTTGGCCACCAACTTACAACATTGTTAGATGTTACATGTTCCGTCTGTTTGCACACCCTCTTGTATGTTGTTGCGTTCGTTTTCACGTAACCTTAGCTCACAATCACCCCCCTCTCTAATTGTTAGGCTTTTCTATTTCCTTCACTATTACTCCATTCTTCCTATTTTCCATCATTTTTTTTCGGGCTCATCCTGACAGATTCTTTTACTTGAGAATCACTTTTTTTTTCAGGGAATGAGCAGATCACCGAACGCCTTCAAATGTTAAATTTTAGCGCCAAGATTCAGTATCATTCTTTACATCACTCCGTCAATCACAAACGTGTCGTCGTCGACAATTGATATGAACCACCTTCTCTAAGGGTTGGGGATTGTTGTAATCACGCCCTACTCCTTGGTTTTGTTTTATTTCGGTTTTTTGTTTGTTTGTTTGTTTGTTTGTTTGATCTTTAAATTCAAGGTCTAATCAATCAACACTCAATTATTTGGTTAATCCTTGACCCTTCACCATATAACCTTCTTTTTATTGCTTCTGTAAAATGTTTGATCTTTAAATTCAAGGTCTAATCAATCAACACTCAATTATTTGGTTAATCCTTGACTCTTCACCATATAACCTTCTTTTTATTGCTTCTGTAAAATATTTACTGGGAATGCATGATTTTTTTTTTGCAGACCCTTCTCGTCAGCAAGGATTCATTGCTAAGGATTTCAACTGGCCACGTGATAGATCTCGTATCGAACGATGTTCAGCGATTGGAAGGCGAAACCTTCATGTTATTGTTCCATGCAGCTCACTTCTTCTTAGAGTTTTTAATAGTAACATTTTTCGCCGTCTATTTTGTCGGATGGCAGGTTATAGTGGGATTTATCTTACTGAGTATTCTTCTGCCGTGCTTTAGTGGACTGTCCCATGGTGGGGCTGTACTGCGTCTGCGTACAGCAGCGGTTTCTGACCGCCGCATCTCGTTGATCAACCAGGTTGTGTCTGGAATCCGCGCCATCAAAACAAACGCATGGGAAGATGAATATAGAAAAAAGATAAAGAACGTGCGGAGGTAAGAAAAATTTCAACAAGGCCACCACTGAGCTATTTCTTACGATAAATATGCACATCGTTAACCTGGCAGCCATTTTTTTTTTTCTGTCCTATGACAAATCCATGGGATTTTGTTTTTTTACCCCATTTAAGATGATCCGGATTCAGAAATTCGAGAATTTTAATTTTTGTTTTGGAATCCGGAATTCAAGCTCCACTGACAACTGAAGGAATCCTGCGTCCAGAACTTAGAATTTGGAATCGACATTGATCGAATCTCCTTACCTAGACTTTTTAAAAGTTCTTATGATTGGCTATGCCATTTTAAAGGACTTTTCATAACTGTTTGTATAGGTAATAGCATGATTTGAAGTGATAGTTGGCATAAATACCACGAGTGATATTTCGAAATTGTTATACGTAATTTCACGAGCGGTTAGGCGAGAGAAATTTGAGACAATTTTGAAATATTACGAGTGGTATTTATGCCAAATATCACGTACAAATCATGCTATTATTTGTTTATACTACTACCCGCAAAAGGTTTGTAACTTTCACATGTAGGTATTTCAAATTAAGCTGAAATGCCACCGCTCTAAGCCAATCAGATTGCAGAAATTTCTCATGTAGTAGTAGAAGGCGCGAAATTCACCGGTCGAAAATTCTATCGGTGACGTCATGATAATTGACCAATAGGACAGTTAGTGATATCTCACGCCGCTCCCGACACAGCATATGTCAATCATTTTTTCCCGCGTGAATTTATAATTATATTAACATTCAGATCCATTCAGGCGAAACAAGTCGACCTCGAGACTTCGTCACTCGCTCGGTCGCTGTGCGACCTCATGGATTGAAACTCACTTCGCTCACTTTCTGTAAGAACTTATGAGAGGTCGACTTGTAGCAAGTCTACCCCTGACCTTACATAAGGCGAATTTTTGTTTCAGCAATGAAGCCAACCGCTGCGGTTTAACCAGCCCCAAGTGATATCGGTATGGGTGAAATGCTGGCTTTCCATCCTTTGATCCTGAACACTGTTCTGTCGCTCTTTGTAATAATCGTCGTACTTTGTAATACCTGTCGCACATTGTAATAACATTTGTCACACATTGAAATAAAAATCTGTTTATTACTTCTCCTCCGACCACCCATTTAAGGTTTACAAAGTGCGACAAGTGAGGGTCACAAGTGTTATCACCTATCATCATTATTGTATCAGTATCAATACTAGTAGAAACCGAGGTCTAAAACAACTATCACGATTAATTTCGAAACGGGAAACAGGAAATAATATATCGATAAGAAAAATAAGTCTGACATCTCATATCTGTTTTCATTAAAGTGATGAAATCCGCTGGATCCGTAAGAAAAGTGGCATTCTGTCGTGCATTGCTGCTGTGGAATATATTTCAACGCCAATGGCGTCCCTGGTGACTGTCATCACTCTTGTACTAACTGGTCAGCCTCTGACACCAGTTAACGTCTTCATGTTACTCTCCTTTATCAATCTGCTAAGAATGAGCGTCAGTATGGGTCTATCCTATTTTTGCCTCCTTTCATACGATGCCTACGTCTCACTCGGTAGAATACAAGACTTCCTCCATTTGAATAATCTATCACCAGTGAACGCCACTGCAAATCAGCGAGAAGGAACTGAAAAAGTGATTTTTCCTTCCATCGTAGCAGAACCAACAGAACCAACTATCTTACGGGTCAGAAACTTGACGCTACGCCGACAGCTTGATCAGAAGGATGAGTCCGTCTTGCAAGGTGTCAGTTTCGTCGCTAGAAAAGGAAGTTTAATAGCTATAACCGGATCAGTGGGCAGTGGCAAATCCACTCTTCTGTCAGCAATTGCTGGCGAGATACCAGACGAAAGCGGAGCCATAACCTTCAAAGGAACTGTTGTTTATGTGCCACAGATTGCCTGGATATTCTCCGGAACTATTAGAGAAAACATTTTGTTTGGCGAACAGTACGAGAAATCCAAGTACGACAGAGTCATTGAAGCTTGCGCCTTGACCCAAGACATTCAGGGTTTCCCAGATTTTGACCAGACAATTGTTGGAGAGCATGGTGCGGTTCTAAGTGGAGGCCAACGGGCAAGAGTAAACTTGGCACGCGCAGTCTACGCCGAAGCAGACCTTTACTTGATGGATGATCCCTTAACTGCTGTGGACTTTAAAGTTGGCCATCACATCTTTAGGGAATGCATCAAAGGCTTACTGGGAGAGAAAACCAGGTTGATAACTTCCCATCAAGAAAGGATCATGCGCGAAGCCGATGACGTTATTGTATTATCTAAAGGTCGGATATTGGGAGAGGGAAGTTTCACTGAGCTGAAAGAAAATGGTATTCTGAATACAACTGTCGATTCGCCGTATTGGCAAGTGAAAGAATCTGATGATGGAATTGGAAAGGAATTCGAAAGTGAACAGGAGAATCAAATTGCTGACTTGAAAGGTACAACTGCACCGCATAACATGGAGGGCCTGCAGCTATCGGAAGAAGATCGAGCTATTGGGGTGGTGTCACCTAAACTTTACTGGAACTACTTCAGAAGCGGAGTACCTTTGCTGGTTATCATCGCAGGAATTTGTTTTTGTTTTATCACTCAAGGTAACGTGCAGATTGTAGACCTTAAACTAATTGACACACTATCTCCAACGCGGCTTGTAAGAACATAAAAATGGATAAAATATCCTTAAATTTTGTTCAAAAAAAGTGTAAAATAAGATAAGAGGTTTATCACTCTATCAGATGACTTTTGCTGTGTTTACACTCAAGCGTTTACCAAGGTAAACATTAACTGACTAAACCCTGGTACATTTGTACCGTGTTTATACGGGCTCAAATAACTAAGGTAAGTCTGTCATCAATCACAATCTAATCGAATTGGCGGCAAATTCTAAATCCACGCATAAATGCTCGCGTTTAAAAGAGAAGCTGTGGCTCTTGTAGTCGTCGCGTTTTATTTTCTTGTTCTTGATCAGCAAACCCAGGAATCGAGTTTGCAGCAGCTCTTACTTTTGCAGCACCTAAAGAGGTGGAGGCGAAAGCGATTAATTCTGCTACAAATTGCCCTTCGCAAGACAAGGCGCGTTAGACGTGCGTGGTCGTGGCCGAGAAACCAATTCTGGTTCGAAACTCTATTAAACGGAAATTTTGTTGAAGAATGGTGTGTCTTTTGTGTCTTTGGTTTTTGCCATAACTTCTTCGTAGACCGAAACCAAACGTGGAAACCTGGTCGAAAACCTAGTCTCGAAAACCTGGTCTCGAAAACGTGATCGAATGAGCCTGACGCAATCCCGACACCACAGGATTTGAAATTCTACGCGACCGCAAGCGGATGTATCTGTCATCCAAACCTTGGTTACCGACCTTAACCATGCCTTTTCGCAGGGCAAACCGAACTTTTACCTTAGTTAACTTTCTATTGTCTTCAGCGGTGTTTACCAGGGTATCAGTTGGCGTTTACACACGCAAAATATTTACCTAGGTAAGTTAACTCCAATACCTCGGTAGCACGCTCAAGTCTAAACACGGCATTTGAATAGCGAATAGATATCTATCGCTATTTGCCGGATGTGCTGAAAAAATGATTATAGGCGGAATACCTTGAATTTGGTTTCATGCACTTTTTCAGTTCCTCAGTAAATTTACTACTCATAGATCAAGCAGAAAGAAGTCGCTAGGAACGCAGTGAGATTAAAAATACCTATCCACTCTATTGGCGAATTGCCAGTGACAGTGATTTACCGACCACTGCTTATTCCTAATTCACCCTTTTATCTGATTAAGGTGATTTTGTTAAGAGGTTTATTATGTCATTCTTCTCCTGTCTTCTGTTCAGCAATCTTGGTTTCCTGCGATCTTTGGCTGTCGTTTTTGACGACAAAGCGTGTGGAGGATCAACGAAATGCGAAAAACCTTATCATCTTTGGTTCTCTTGTTGGGGCATCTTTCATACTTCTCCTCGTTCGAGCGTTCAGCTTCTATCTGGTATCGTTAAGATGTTCTGAACGACTCCATGATAAAATGGTTATGGCTATTGTACAAGCGCCGGTCCTTTTCTTCGATTCAAATCCCGTAGGACGAATCATGAATAGGTTCTCTAAAGATGTAGGCTGCATGGATGAACTACTACCAGAAACATTTTTGAAATCCATCCAGCTGATTTTGTTGATGTTGACGTCTGTTCTTCTACCAACTGTCATAAATCCTTGGACTCTGCTTATTATTGTACCAATAACTGTGTTGGCCGGACTTATTTCAAGATATTACTTACGGACATCCAGGGAGCTACAAAGGTTGGAGTCTATTTGTCGTAGTCCTGTTTATTCTCACTTTTCAGAGACGTTGAATGGACTGGGGACTATTCGGACAAGGAAAAGGCAGAAAGATTTTGTGGATAAGTTTTGCAGGTAACCACTACTAGAACTAAAAATACGTAAATCGTAGGACCTCGAGGAGCACATTGGGGGGAAGGGCAAGAAGTAGGGAGCAAGGGAAATAGGGCAAGAGGGAAGATAATTTTTAAATGGAAAAAACTATCGCTCTCTAAAGAAACAAAACAAAACAAAACTACAATAACTAAAAATACTAAACGAAAAAAAGAAGAGGGAAAGAAAAAGAGGTTCTTCTGTCCGCAATCGAACTCGGGATCTTCTACGCACCGGGCCACGATACGTACATCGTTGCCACTGCGCAAAAATTAACACAACAGGTGGCCCAAACTTACGTAATGAGGGAAGGGTGCAAAGTAATCACATACCATAGGTGACCGGACACTGGCGCGTCCAGCGCAAAGGTCAACTCGGTTAAATTTCGTGCGTATAGGGATTCCGTTCACACGGATCTACCTAATCCCTAGGAAAATTTAGACGCCTAGCCGTTCAAAGTTCCCCGTGAACAGAGGAAAAATTAATCTGGTTCCGTGTGAACGCCCAGGGGAGGGGGGGTACTTGGGTTAATATTTGCTGGGTATGTGCTGCTTTCCTCTAGGAGCCCCTACCCCATTATTTACTCTGTTCTGAGGCCTATCCTAGACCCCATGCATCTTAGTCGCTTTTGGGCAAATATGTAATTTTCGCGATCCCAACTTAGTCACTTTCTATATATGTATCTACCCAAGAGCCATAATAGCTCTTGATTTACCTTATTAAAAATAGGTTATCCTAAAATGACCCCTAGGCGGAGAATTTGCCAATGCCCGCTTACAGAAACTCGTTCACAACAATGTATTTTCAAAGACCTCAACATTTTAACATTTTAATGAACCTGTGTTAATTACGAAATGCCAATTTTGTTTGTTTTTTAGTTATCAAGATGTTCACACCCAGTCGTTTATCATGGTAGTTGCCAGTCACCGTTGGCTTGGTGTTCGCTTAGATTCTCTCTCCGCTTTGTTGACTGGTGTAGTGGCTCTTGCTGCGCTTTTTGTGTCTCAAGATGCTGGTAAATATAATCTTATTTTATGAAAGCAGAAAATGGGTGATTTGATTTCTTACACTTGATAAATTTAACAGAGAGGACCACGAGTCTTTTCCATATGTACACGGTGCCAGTTAATGCGCCACACCTGAATAAAAGTATAATAATTTTAATTACAATAATAGTCATATTTATTGCTTGATATTGCGCAAATTAACATATTAAAACATGATCATATGCACTCTACAATATATAATACTATTACTAACAAAGCTGAATAAAAATGTACATATTATTGAATGTATCCTATAATTTTCTGAATGATATTAAATAAATCAATGGATCCCTCTTACATCGAAAAGAGAATGAATATTTTTCGCAGACGTCACACCCGAAATCACTGAGGACCGCTGGGAGCGAAGTTGAAGCTAGAGTAGTTTAGGCTTAACAAGAAAACATAAATATATAGATTAAGCCAAGGCTAAAGGTGAAGATTTTGTAAATAAATTTATAATGTACTTCAAACAATAAACTTGGAATTCAGCCGGCGATCGGTTGAAAACCAGTAACTTGTTAGTCGATAACTTAAAAAAAACACGCAGCCTCGACGATTAGACGGCCTGTTCCTTGATACAGTCCTTTGGTATTGGTCAGCGGATACCCTCTCTTGACAGCTGTCATTTGATCATAACATGGATGCGCAATATCAAGTTGCAGGCTCCCTGGCGCCTTTTGTTACGGACGGGCGGTCGGAAGGACGTACGGTCACGTGACTACCAAAAATTTCTCGGATATTTAGAAACCAAATTCGGCTATGAAGCGCGCAAATTAGCCTTGCTTTTGCGTTTTTGCGTCAATCCAAAGTGAATGTGAATGCCTTCTCGTTTTCCGTAATTTTGGTAAATTTCGCTGTAGCAAATTTTAATTAAGGATTACGCACATCTCTGAGTCTTTTATTTGTATGAAATGGATGGACGCGCTTACGCGATTAAGTAAAGTTTTATAAAGTATTCTAATGTATTTACAATTTATGATTTGAGTTCGGCACGGCGGTACTGATGACGTTTGAAACTAAGTCGTGTCGCAGTCGTGCTGAAATCGAATGTAATTCGATCAACTGAGTTCTTCACGGCAGTAGCACGACGTTTGAAACAGATCTTAGGTTTGCTGCATAAATAGGGTCAGCATGTGGGCTATAACATCACATTTAGTGATAATACGTTTATCAATTTCCATTTCAGTTTTCGCTGGTCTTGCACTTGTTTACGTAGTGCAGTCTGTAACTCTGACGCAATACACTGTCCGGAAGTCATCCAAGGTGGAAAATTTAATGACGTCAGTGGAGCGAGTTATGACCTACACCGAGGTTGAATCTGAGCCTGGATACCAAGTGAAACAGAATCCCCCGGAAATGTGGCCTGATGAAGGAAATATCGCATTCAAAGACGTATACCTGACTTACTATCCGGGGGGTCCCCTAAGTCTAAAGAAAATCACAGTTAACATCAATGGAGGAGCCAAGATTGGCATTGTAGGACGCACGGGCGCAGGGAAATCTTCTTTTGTGGCTGCACTGTTGCGCATGCCTGAAGCTGATGGAGATATATTGATTGATAATGTTAGTATAACAAGTCTGAATCTTCAAAAATCTCGGCGAGCAATAAACGTTCTTGGGCAAAATCCTGCTCTCTTTAGTGGATCGGTAAGAAGAAATCTTGATCTGATGGGACAATTTCAAGACGCAGAACTTTGGCGAGCTCTGGAACAGGTGCAGGTGAAAAATCTTGTAGAGAAATTGGAAGGTCAGTTGGATCATGAATTGCTGGAGCACGGTGCAAATTTAAGTGTTGGAGAACGGCAACTTATTTGCTTGGCTCGCGTTCTGTTGCATCAAAAGAAAATCGTCATCTTGGATGAGCCAACTGCCCACGTTGATCCAGACACAGAACAAACAATCTGGAAGACAGTGCGTGAGAAGCTGAAGGATTCCACGATTATAACTATAGCACATCGTTTAGAAACAGTAAGTGACTGTGACAAGATTTTAGTTTTGAAAAATGGAGAAGTTAATGGGTTTGATAGATTTGATATCATTATGAAAGCGAAGAAGTCACTTGATCCAAGTGAATAGAGTACTCCTCCATACAAGTAGCTTTGGTCACATCAATGACGCCAACTACTAGATTAAGAACCCATCTATTCTAATTCCTTAAGCGGGTAAAAGTTTCCCTGGAAATGGCTACCGTCTGAATATGGCATTAACCATGCATACTGCTTTTACCTGGATCACAGGGATTGAAATCATTTTCTTTGAAAGCGGACAAGCTACATTTTAACCTATGATGTAGGAAATATGTATATGCAATAAACAAGGAATATTCTTACACATTATTTTTTGGTAAACTAAATGATAAGGGTAGCTAAGGCCTAAATACTGAAATAGGGGCTTCTATACTACTCGATTTAAAAGCTGAAAGGAGCCGACTGCAGATCTGAAGAGTACAGCGATAAAAATTTAAAATTTCTTAACTGTTTGTTCTGAATGTACAATTGAAAATGAGTGAATTTAAGTAAAATGGCCGGTTTCAATATAAGCTTAAGCTTATAAATGGAAGACGAAGTAGCTCCGACAAAAAGCACAACATAAGCTTACGTCTTGCTCTGTTTTTCCCCTTCCGCTGTTGTTTCGCCGGCTCTCCACAGTTTTCTTTATCGACAGTGAAACAAACAAAACTATTCCACTCAATTTCTGAAATGTTTTTCGCTGTTTTAACGAGAAAAAACTCTTTGAGAAAAACTTTTCTCCTCGAATGTGTGCGAAGCGGCGCTCAGCAAGCTGCAAGAAAAGGTGGGAATTTTGGCGCGAAACTCACACACCTCTGTGGCCTCTGATTGGACGTATCATTTTTCTCACATGTGAAAAAACATCGTTCGCGATTCTGATTGGACGTATAATATTTTTTACGTGTGAAAACCATAGTTCACTCCTCTGATTGGCTAGAACTCATTTGCATATCAAAATTTACAACACAACTTTTTGGTGAGTATTTCTCAGTATGTATATAATAAATAATGATATGAATCTCTCTACTTAAAAAGCCAATTTATAATATTATTAAATTCTTATACTTTGTAAAACCTACGCAAAGACATGATGATATAATTATCTCAGTCTACTTGAAGCCTATTTAGAAAATTGTTCAGTTTTTATGCTCTCATTATCTCTTATATGGAACTGAGTGCATCTGAACTGACTCGAAAGAAGTCTGGACCTAGCTGGTCAGTGGTTAACTTTCAGCGCGGAAATGTTATTAGGGAGCTTTAGCATCGACGACGGCAACGGCAGCGAAAACGTCAGTTCTAAAATGAATTCCCGTTTTTTCAATCTTTGTCGCGTTTATTCCAATTTGCTGAAAATGGCAAGTGTAGGCGAATTTCCCTGGAGTTGATTTCTTGAGGACCGCACTCAAGTTTAAAGAGAGAAAAAGAGATTCGTCGTCGCTTGTTTACGTCCTCCATAAAACTTGCAATTAGGACTTTTCACGTCGTAGTCGTGCAAGGACGGTAGAGAAATGTACAAAAAAGCATGATGCACGTGCAAAGTTGTTGTTTTGCGTAATAAAGCTATTGCTTTTTTGACGTCCTGGTTGCGGTCGCCGTCGTCGTTGCTAAAGCTCCCTATTGACAGCTCGCCCGCTTCCAAAAGCTCCGTCCCAAGTGAGACAAAATGTCTCACTTCTCCGAGTTTGTCTAGGCTTTAAAAACTTTCTCGGACCACGTGACCCGAAACGCATCGGCCGCGCTTAATAATCCGTTAATTTTTTCAGCTAAAAATAAAACAGTCAGCACAATCACATTTAACTTCTTGCAAGATTAAAGGGGACCTCGAAGGTTTTTGTGTTGGGGTGAAAGGTAAAAAGTTTTCGAAAAGACGGCGACACGATGTTCTACTAGTTTTAGCTAGGCGCGCTCGAATTTAAAAAACTGAAATTTCTATTTTTCTGTTGCCTTAATATTTTCCTCCGCAATTTTCCCCTATGTCTAGTACATAAATCTTTAAAAATCTTGAAGAAATATATCGCGAACTTTTTCGTAGGATATATAAATTATTTCGGAACAAACCAAACGAGTTCTCAAGTGTATTAATGCAGCTGATTTAGTCCTGTGCGTACACTTGCAATAATAGGGGTGATGAATGGTCCATTAAAATTTTTAACTGCTCGCAAAATTTAAACGAGTGCTCCCTTGCTCGTGCTCCCAAAATTTTTGCAGTTGCTCGCATGCTCGCTTTCTTGTCAGTATAGAAAGGAAGTCGAAGACAGACCTGCAAGGACTCCCACCGTGGTTTTTGTGGTTGCGTCGCAATATCAAATGATTTCGAGTTACATTTTTGTCCTTTCAAGCATCTCTTTCAGAGATTTGTCTCTTTTGTAGGATATGATCGGAGGTCTTTTAAAAATTGTTTTCAGCAGAGGATGATTTTCTATAAGGCACCAATTTGCCATCAATGTCTTTTTAGGATCTTGTACCGCTTCTCTTTGAGGCAAAGGTTACATCTTTTACAACAGTTCAAGTAAAAGATGTAACCTTTGCCTCAAAGAGAAATTTTTAATTATCTGCCGTCACGATCTGTCATCACTTAACAAACGTAACGAGCTTGTATCTTCTTGCCGCCACAGAAACAAAGCGTTGCTACGTAACAACAAACGAAACATTTAAACTTAAATTTTCCCCAACGATGTAATCTAAAAGTATATAGCCGATGGTTTTGAATATTCTTATCATTAAACATTAAATCCCCTGAAGAGGGAGCGATCACGAAACAGGCTTGTCGGGATGAAAGTGTATTTTTTTCCTATTTCCTATATATATGTTTTGCACAGATCCCGCCACGGATATTTACCAGGGTATGCCTGCTCTAGGGTGTCACGAGCGTACATAGCACGAAGAATGCACTTGCCACAAGACCTTTTATTTCGCCCACGCGTTTCGCCGTTTGTCTTCTTCAGGGCACAAAGGTTACACTCAATTATCGTATTATTCGTTGTCCTATTTATACTTTTCAAAGCTCGTTAGCTTTGTTTACGTTCGTGTGACGAAATTAATTGCTTAATAAAATTGTTTACTTGTTTACAGCCTAGTGGTGGAAGGCTTAATTTACCGTTTTACGGGCACTGTCGGCTTCGCGCGGTAATGTCATTGTTGACGTTGGTATGACGCAATTAATTCGTTTCTAATGTTCTGAAGTTGTTTACGCTGTTCGCATCGTTCCTAATTAAACAACTTAGAAGCGTTCATAGAACTTGTTTTAGTCCTAAAACTTGATTGAGTGCACTGTCCAAACACACGGAAAGTCCTTGGTGTGTAAATAGATATGATTGTCCATTTTTGACCAGCTCCTGGGTCCGACAATGGGTATGGTTGACCATTACAAGCCCTGCTCCTGTTCGATCCTTTGGTTAATGGATTGTTGTCCATTCTTTCCATCATCCATGTCTTCTAGATCTCGCATTTAGAAGATCGGTGTTTCCGCGTTTTTTCCGTTAACCAAAGAGGGGGTCTGTTTCTCCTTAGGTTCCTAAATTTTCTCAGTCCTCTTCCTAAAAAGTCCAGAGTTCCCATTGAAAAAATCCCGTAAAAAAAGACAAAACATCCACACAAGATTTTTGTTCTATGGCGTAAGCGCTCTTCCCCTAAATCCGGGGACTTTTATTTGAAACTGTCAATCTTCCCGCGCGTATCGCAATTTCCGGTAAAAATGCACTTCCGGTTCGCTCTTACAAACAATTCTTTTAGAAAAAAGGCACAAGAAATAATCCTTAACATTTTCCCCCTCCTGGATTTACATTTGACTGAAAATCCAACACTTCAACCGATCTCTTTTACAAACATAACGCAAATTGTTCAAATGTTCCAATAACTGTTCAAATGTTAAAATTCAAATGTTCAAATGTCAAATGTTCAAATGTTCAATCTGTCAGATTTAGACTTAAAATTCTCTGACTAAACAAATCATGAACTGTTCAAATCTTCCTACAAGTGTTCATGATGCAAATCTTTACGACCATAGCTAGTTAGTTCACTGTTCCGTCCGGTCACTTAGTAATCTTCAAATTCCAACGGTGAAATTCTGGAAATTGGTCTTCGTTTCACCCCTCCTTTGGTTCTAACGTCTACGACTCGTACTAGTCCATCTTTACCAGGATGCACTGCCTCTATTCGTCCAAGCTTCCAATCCCGTCTTGGTGCGTCTGGATCAGTTACCAACACCACGTCCCCCACTGTTAGATTCTTTGAAGGTTGGAACCACTTTTGCCGGGATCCAATACTTGGCAAATACTCTCTCATCCAACGATTCCATACTCTACGAATCAGTTCCTGTATTCGTCTATCTCCATCGTCTACGCACACTGACTGCCGTCGTATCGACTGTGTCTGGGGCTAGCTCTCCACCCATTTGGCCAATTAAGAAATGGTTTGGGGTCAGTACAGGCTCGTCATTGACATCTCCACTAACTGTAGTTAAAGGCCTCGAATTTAACAAACTTTCGGCTCCAGTAAACACGGTTTGTAATTCTTCATCATTGACATCAGCTTCGTTCAAAATTGCATAAATTGCCCTCTTGGCTGACTTGATCATTCTTTCGAAGACACCGCCAAAGTGTGGCGCTTCCGGTGGGTTAAACTGCCACTCAATTCCTTGGTTGGAAGTAAGCCTTTGAATATTTTGTCTTGGTCCATGCTATCCACTAACTCCTTGATTTCTCGTGCTGCTCCGACGTAATTACTTCCATTGTCACTGAGCATCAACTTAGGCCACCCTCGTCTAGCCACCATACGCGTCAGCGCATTTAAGAAAGCATCCGTCTCCAGGGAAGCAGCCATTTCCAAATGACAACAGTGTGTCTGTAAACACACAAATAAGCAAAGGTAGCGCTTCACTCGTGGTCTACCTCGTCCTTGCATCGTGTAGAATGGTCCTGCAAAATCTGTCGCACAATTTGCAAATGGTTTCTGAGTCATCTCTAATCGAATTCTAGGTAATGGTGCCATTTGTTGTCGTGCTGGACAGTCCCTGAATCTTCGGTTACATTCCGCACATTCCTTGATACATTTCGTCACTTGTTGTCG